AGCGTATCCTGCCGGATTGTGGTTTGTACACCAGAGTATTGCCTGTCGCACGTACTGGGGACGGGGGCGATTGTAAAGCCCGTCCAGCCAGAGGGTCCAGGCATAGGTGGCCACACGGCGAAACATTAAGCAAAGACAGTTACAAGACTCTAGCATTTAAAACAGCAGTTCTCAACATTATTTGACCTGTGACCCCATTTTATAGAGGCAAAGTTACCCATAAAAACATACATTAAAAACAGGTTTTTTAATAAGGTTAAAAAAACCACATCAAAAACAGATTTTTCAATCATAATTCAAAATATTATTAACTTATGACATATTTCTTCTGCTTCTTCTTTGTTCACTGGCTGTAAACTCTGGCTGAAAGTCCTGGTTGTTTGTTGGACTTTGAATTTTGTGTGAACAGCTGTTTTACTGGTGGTGTGCACTTAGTTGTTCCCTTGTGGATCGGGCAGATGCACTTTAACTTGAAGGAAGCTCCCAATTAGTTCTTTCTCACAGCATGCTTACTGGAGTGGCACTAGGTCAATTTTTGTTTTTCCCACAATGGGACCCTGGAACCCACAAGGGGAATGACATACTTAATCGGAAGACTGAAACTATTGTGAGCAGCTCCTGCATTCTGCAAATAAATCTCCTTGTAGGACACAATTTATTTATTTTTCCCTGTAACAATTTTTCTAGCTCACCGTTGCCTGTGACCCCACAGAAATCCCTTTGTGCCATTAGCAACTGGTGAAAACAGACCAAAAATGATCCCAGGAAATTTTGTCTTCTTCTTCTTTGCATTCAGTTTCACATGCTTAGGTCAGACCATCAGATGGGTAGCCTCTATGAACTCGCATGTCAGCTGCAGGTTCTTCGTGGTTGCCCACAGCTTGCTCTGCACATTTTGCTCTTGAGGCCAGGTGTCTTTCTGAAGATATAGGTAGTGTGGGCAGGTCTGTAGAATGTGCTCGGCTGTTTGTGGTTCTCTCTTATCCCAGGAAACAATGAAGTTCCTCAAGCGGTCTTTTCTTAACATTGACACTCAAAGGCAAAACGGAAATGTGTGCTGTCTCCACAACAGTCATTTGTGTCTTTGGGAATATTCTGTGGTGAAGCCCCAAACTTTTTTATGGTCAGACTCCCAAACTTCTGTCCAAAAGCCATGAGAACAGTCTTTATTTTTTCTTAACCATTCACTGTTGAAATAAAACTCTTCTACACTGAAGATTGTGAAATGCGTTTACTAACCTCTAAGCTACAGAGCCCCAAACTGGCAAAACAGGGATAGAAAAAGTATAAAAGAAGAGAAAGTTACTTTGTCTTAAACAATTCAGTGATTTCAGAACATGACATTATCATTTTACTTTCCATAAACTTGCTAATTAGGCCAGTGTTATTCATCTGTTTTAGAACCACAGATAGGCAAACTAGGAAGGATTTTGTGGACTACGATATCCAACCACAAATCAAAAACAACTGTAGATAACAATTTACTTCTCAAAACTAATGTGAAAAAAAAAAAATTTTAATTTTCAACTTTAGCAATAATTGCTGCTGCTGTTTAGAGATTTAGAAATCTGATATATATGTCACGTGCAAAGTCTCACACAATGTACAGCAGCGTAGTGCTGCCGTCATGTAGCTGCTACATGATAAATTATAATTTGTGTGCGACCCACCCCAAAAATGTAGCTGCCCAGCAGTTGTTAACACTGAATTAAGCTACTATATTCTCACAGAGTGGTGAAACAAGGGGTGACTGGAATTAGATAATACCAAGTAATTAATCTTTGTTGTTCAGCTTCCCTGTTTTGCTAAGCTATTCAGTCATAGTTCAGTGGATTAATTTCTTACTATACTCTCATATATGTTTGTTTTGTTTAAACATTTTTCCCTCTGGGATTGCAGACTGAAGGACTGACACAAGAAGGAGTCACTATTCAGAAGTAAATTCACCTGGAGAAAATCCTAGAAACCTGGTTTAATTGTATAAAATAGTAATATAGGGGTACTATATGGTTAAGAAGTAAACTCCTGTCCAATGAGAGTGGGTAGATAATATTTGCTATGTTATGCAAAAATTATTTACTACATTTGTGGTCACAGTAATAATTTTTTTAATACCGTTTTTTCACTCCAGATTTGTATTCTGTAGGATTAACATCTCAAGGATGAGAATCAAACCGGTACAAATCCTAGAATACCCTGAACTGTATAGACATTTAGGGCAGTTATATAAGGGCATCACAAAACGGTTAGGAAGTAACCTGTAGGCCAGTGTGGGTGGGTTGTGCTGAACTCTGCAAGCAAGAAAATGACAGACATTCACTACTCATTACAAACAATATGTACAAAAAGTGGTTCTGAAATAATTCAAAAACTTACAACAGTACCAGCCTGAATGTTACAAATGTAAACAAACTTTGACACATTATAACCCCCCAAAAAATGAATAGGTATAGGTTTAGAGGACGGATCAACATCATGTCAGAAGGGTAATAACCCATAAGTGCTCCTTTCTACTTCTGACTCAAGTCTGAGTCTGAAGAATCTCAGCACAGTGCACGAACTCGGTAGCACTGACAAAGATACTGAAATACTTTAGGTAGATTTTTAACTCCACATTTTGCCCCGGCAGTGCCATTAGGCTACTCTTTTTTCGATTTCCAACTGCCAAGGGATTTTTTACGTGGGCAACAATACACACGGGCGTCTGATCTTACTATCCAGAGACCAGGGGAAATTACTAGAAGTCCACATGAAAAAATCCCAGCCTTGCCGAGGCTTGACACCGGGGCCTCCGGCACTCGAGGTGGATGCCATGCCTCAAGACCACGCAGCCTCCAAAAATAAAATTAATGATAAACATAACAAAACAATTGCTCTTATTTAAATAAAATCTATAAAATACTGCACCTATTGAATCACTGAATAAATTTGTAAAATAATTGTCAAATCTAATGCATCAAAACAATGCAGAAAGAAATATATCCGCTTATCAACATTCTTGCATTGGAGATTAAATTTGCTGACATAAAAAGACAAATATCTAAAACTGTATAAGTTTTTACTTCACTGCCTGTAAAGGCAAATATATACAGAGCTGTAAAATACTGAAAATTAAAGTCACCACACACTAGGAAATGCAAGTAACAGACAAATCTTTACATTATAATTTACCTCCCAATGGGTTTTCTGCATAGATTTCGAAATACTGAGCTAAAAAAGCAATCTTGAACAGAAACAATTATGAAATTAAACAACTATAGGTGTGTTATATACTCATATTTTAGATTGTTAAACAGTCATAGAACGGTGTATGATTTTATTGACAGGAATACTTTTTATATTCTTCCAACATCACATAACATACTGAAGATATCATCATCCAAACAAGATCATTTCTACTTTTTCTTTCCATATCATCATAAACATTATCATGTTCCACCAATTTTTTAAACTTCACTCTCTAGCTTCCTTCTCCACGTGTATTTTTTTGTGTGGGTCTTCCTTTATTCCTATGCCCCTGTGGGTTCCAGTGCAATGACATTCTAGTCATATTGTTCTTTGGTTTTCTCAACGTGTGTCCTATCCAACGCCAGGATCTTTTTTTCACCTCTTGGTCCACTGAAACTTGTCTGGTTCTCTCAATGTTAATCATAGAGTTTTCTTGGAATCCTCCCTCCCTCAATCATGCGTTTTCCATTTTAGTGTCTCTTTCGCAACTCTTTGCTACTTTCCGTGCAGACCATATCATTTACAAATATCACTAATGTTTATGACTGTATGACAGACACACATAACACTTGATCATGCATCTATATGACATAACATAATGTCATATATCCTTACAGATGCATGTAACATAATGCTAATTGTGACTGTAATGCATGATATGACCACCATGAGTACTGCTTAGGTAGACGAATTCATGCAGCACAAACAAGACATGGTAAAGTGCTTTGGAAGCACATGAAAAGCATGGAAGATTGAGCTGATAGCATGTTCAAGTAAAAAAAGATGCAAATAAGGAGAGACCAGATCTTGTCAACACTCAATTCTCAGATAGCAGGATGTGTGTATAATCAGACTACCTGTACAACTGTGACCATTAGTACAGGAATTATGAACTCACTGCTAAAGATGTGGACACAGCATTTATGGGAATGTGTCTTGAGTTCTGTAATGTAAGTTCCTAACTCTTTTTTCTACTGCTCTACAGGATGGTCTAACATGGTGGCATAGAGAAATATTATAAAGAGAGAGGTGATACCGGACGGTCTAAGTCCCAATGTGGGTTCCAGGTCCATTACTAGAGTTGGGGGGTAGGGGAGAGAAAGACTCTGTGCCAAAATTCTTAAGGTAACTCATCAGGAGTTTGCAGACATCAGATGTTTGAGCTGAAAGGTGCAGATATTGCAGTCTAGCTATAAACTACATGACAGCACACTAAATGTTTTTTCAAGGGTGAAAGCAGAGAAAAAGAAGAAAAAGAAGAACTGTCTAAGACAGCAGCATGAAGAAATATCATCAAAAGAAGTAATCTAAGGATTTTCCCATGCAGGGTCGAGGGGCTCACTATGAGGAAAACAAGAACAATCCCATTGCCTCCTTAACAAGTATGTCATAAGAGGCGATTAATTAGGGCTTTCCTTTGAAATCAGAGTTCATCTGCCTGAGAGGCAAGAAACCAAACATCGACACATGAAAAAGCCAGATTTGTAAAATGGATGTGCACGCAACACTCAAATTCTGGAACAACACTAAAGTGCAGAAGTGGATGAACAACCAGAACTTTTTGCCAAAGTTTAAAACCAGTGAACATGAAGAAGAAGAAGAAGAAGAAGAAGAAGAAGATCCGAGGATTAAGATCTGTGGACAGACATGAACATTTGAGTTCATCTGAAAATGTTCGTGATGATGTGGTTTCAGACACAGCAAGGTGTATCAGAACACTGCCTCTGCAGAGATATACAAAGCATAAATACATTGTCACACTGTGTAAGATGTTAGCAGAATTGGACTGATGATCTGTTCTTCCCTGCAGGACTCTGTGTTCTGTGTTCCCTGTTGAGGTTTGCATACAGCTGAGCTTCTAGAATTTTCTTATCAAAAGTGTCTGAATCATACTTTCCTTTAATATCATCTCGAAGAGTCTGGCTTAGCTGGGCCACAGCTCTAGTCTGCAAGTAAATTTGTTCAAAGACATAAAATTTAATCTACAGAATATATGGTTTGAGTCACTGTCATCATGCTGATTATATGTAATTCTCATAATGTTGACTGTATGTATCCACTTAATGCTTTTAATGTTGATTGTATGTACCCACTTACTTCTCATAATGTTGACTGTATGTACCCATTTAATGCTTATAATGTTGACTCCATGTACCCACTTACCTATCATAATGTTGACTGTATGTATCCATTTAATGCTTATAATGTTGACTCCATGTACCCACTTACCTATCATAATGTTGACTGTATGTATCCACTTAATGCTTATAATGTTGACTGTATGTACCCACTTACTTTTCATAATGTTGACTGTATGCATCACTCAACTATCATAATAATGACTGCATTCATCACTCAACTATCATAATGTTGACTGCATGCATCACTCAACTGTTATAATTCTCACAGCATGCATCACTAAACTCTTATAATGTTGACTGCATGTGTCACTTAACTCTCATAATTCTGACAGCATGCATCACTTAACTCTCATAATATTGACTGCATGTGTCACTTAACTCTCATAAGGTTGACTGGATGCATCACTCAACTCTCATAATATTGACTGCATGTGTCACTTAACTCTCATAATGCTGACTGGATGCATCACTCAACTCTCATAATGTTGACTGCAGGCCTCACCCAACTATCATAATACTCACTGCATAAGGTTTGAGGTTTGAACAACGGATCAAAATCATGGCACATGGGTAGTAAACCATAAGTGCTCGGTTCTTCTTATAACTCAAGTCTCAGCCTTAAGAAGCATCAACTATAATAATGTTGATTGTTTGCATCAACTCTCATAATGTTAACTGTAACATTCCAATTAACTCTTATTATATTGATCCTATGTGCCACGTAATGCTCATAATGTTGACTGTATGTATGACTTTACTCTCAGCCTTATGAAGCAAAAGGGTAAGACACTTGTTGCAGGACATTGGGCATCTATGGGTACATTTGGATGCTTGATGTCAATTCCTAAATCATTTATTAGAAAAGGTTAATTCTCTCTCTCTCTCTCTCTCTCTCTCTCTCTCTCTCTCTCTCTCTCTCTCTCTCTCTCTCTCTCTCTCTCTCTCTCTCTCTCTCTTCTCTCTCTCTCTCTCTTTCTCTCTCTTTCTCTATTGTGTGCATGTGTGTGTGTGAGAGAGAGTGAGAGAGAGAGAGAGAAATTCCATTGTTAGGAATAGACACAACAGATAAGGCAGATATTCTCAGGCTACATAATAAAGAATGCTGCTAGAAAACACAATTTTAGATAAAACAACACATGTGAAGTTACGTGAATCTGGTAAAAACGGATAAATGAGAGGCAGATTATGGCATATAAACAACCAGCGTGCTACTGGAGCAGTATCTCAAGACATCTGCTGTCAGAAACAGTGTCTCTACAGAAATGCTCAGTGTACCAGGATGCCAACTTTAAAATCATTATCCTCTCAGTATAACAGATGACACCTCGATATTTACCTGAGCTATAACCTTTTGTTTAGAATCAATCAAATCCTCAATTTTGCGATCTTTCAACAGGAGTGATCTTTCCAGGCTGCGTCTGTATTTTTCATCATCTTTTTGTAGTCTGCATGAGGAAAGAAAAACAACAGCGATAAAAAAAAAAGCCTTTCAAAATTTACAAAGCTTCCCATGCACACAATCAAAATGTTCAAAACAATCATGTTTACATCAAATGTCTCTAACAGGTTTACAGTGTTCACTATAGTTCTCTGTCCAGTCATTGCTTTAATACACCAGGATGGGATCTATATAGCTCTTGGGAACTTTTTTCTCACCTTAACTGACAAAGACTGCACAATTTATTGCCAGTTATTTTTCGTTGTATCTTTGTCAGGTGAGTTGTTACAGAGTTACATCTACACATAATGAAGCCGAAAAATTGAATAAATACATATGGTGCCTCTCAATACATCGTCGATTGCACTGAGGATACACTGCCAGTGGGAAAAGGAAACCCTCAAGACAACTCTACTTCTGAATGGGTACCCCACAGTAGTAATATCTCTGACAAGATACAGCAGAATGTGCCTGGCAATAAATTGTTAAAATAATTGTTAGTGTCGGCATTATTTTAATTTAATAAAGGGAAAACATTGTTTTGACAAAGATATATTGCATAGAATATTTTTATCCTCTAAAATGCTGAGTTTCCTTTGGTTGCTCTATATTTAAATATTTAATCCTCCTTCTGCTGTTATCTAGGTACCCTAATACTTGAATCCAATGCTCTTGTAGTCTATCACTTACCTCGAAATGTTTTTCTTTTGTTCCAACTCTTTGACTATTCGCTTCTTGCGAGCTTGAAAGGACTTCAGTTCAATGCTTCTGTTTACCACATCTATTGCTCTGTCCTCCATCTAAAGTAAAAACAAATAAAATCTCTTATGTATTATAGGACAGATCATTAGACAGGCAGGTAGACATTTTCTAGACGTTAATGAGCCTGGAGACGAACCATGGAAAGTGACCTGGTGTGTGGTTTTTTTTTTTGTTTTTTTAAATGAAGAAGACTACTTTACAACACTGCATGCATGTGTCCATGGCTAGTTGGTTGCGTCATCTGCCTTGTGCAGTGGATTTGTTTCATGAACTGTGTTGCATGTGTCACAAGTGCAATCTTTATAGATATGCCAGGGTGTTGTGTGCTATCCTGGGTGTAACAGCAATTAGCACAGGGTCAAGTGTCCAAGGATACAGTTCTCGCTTCCACACATACAAACCTCAGAAAAACTCAACGATGTAATGTCCGTCATTCAGTACATTTATTGTTACGCTACAGAGGGTAGTCACAATCCCTCACACAGACAACAATTCAAGCGAAGTGATGTAGACATCCGTCCTGGCCAACATATAAACCTAGCACCTTCTTCACTCTCTTTGGACAGCTTGCACTCGCCACAACTACACGCGATCTGACAGCTACAGTTCGTAGGTCTACAGCATTCCACAACTCCCGGGCTCGCTGTACAGATGAACAAGAAATCTCTCCTATCAACTGGACCTCTGCTTTACAGTGAGCAGACACATAGGCTGACTGGAAACAGACTCACAACACCAGTTCTCCAGCATGTGCACACAGCACATCAGCCTCTTCGAAGGACTCGGATGACCGGCAGGACTCCTGGCTTTGAGTCTCCTTCAGTACACAGCTATCGCCGGCATCCCCGCTGTCTTGTTTCACTAGAAAGCTTACGCCTACCTGCGTCGTCATCCACAACAGCTACTCTTGAGTGTCCAGTTCTCATGGCCTGACTCTGCCGCCTGGATTCTCTTCCTTCGAATGCACCGTCGCTGAGACTCTTGGCTCAAACCTCACTGTCTGACTCTCACTGGAGTATTCTGTCTGTCTCCCCTCTGCAGTCTACTTAACTCCAGGATATACTCTTGCCTGCCTCTTGTGGGCGGCTTGTGCCACTCGAGAAGCATGCTGGCATGCATCCCATCCTTCTTCCGTGCATCAGCAGCTATCTCGTACAAGTCATGAAAGTTAGCCCGTGCGACTACTTTCTTGGGCCTCTCAGGTCCATTCCGAGTCAAGCCACTTCCCACTTGCCACAATGTTGACTCCACCGACAGATATTTCCTGGCTTAAGTCAACACTGGGCAACATATTGACACAGGTAACTGAACATTCTTGTGGACTCCAGCAAACATGATTCATACCACATTATCCCTTCCCACAATGTTACAACCGACTTATTGCCGGAGTATAGAGTTTAAACTTTAAGCCATGTACTTGCCAATCTGCACACACAGACTGAGCAATATGGGGTCAAAACTGATGTCATGAAGTCAACCCTCTCTACTTGAAACTTTCTGTATTAATTTACATGTTCACTAACCATTTTTTCTTGCTGCAACAGATCTGATCTCCAAGCTTCCATCTCAGCCTCTAAGATTTTTTGTGTTCTCTGAGCTTTCTGCAACTTAGCCTGCTCTTCCTGTCTAATGATGGAGAAAAAAAAAAAACAAAGGTATGGTCACACCTAGATAGTCAAGGAAATGAACTCAGCATTATTTTAAACATATATGATTTTATTTTTCAACATTCCTATTTGATCCTGTCTTTCCACATTTTTATTTCCTGGACTTTAGTTGTGTGTTTTTTTTTTATCTTATTCACTGAACTGTGCACATTATTTATTTGTGATTAAGATATTTCAAAATGGCAGTTAAGCATTCTTTCTTCCTTTTTAACTTGGTTGTTGATGAAGAATTTCTTCAATATTTTATATATTTCTGTATGGGTCATTCCTTCAGTCAAGCTTCATATTATATTTTGTGATCAATAAATTTTATTATCATACACGGCCAAATTGAGACACCTGAAATGTTCAACTTGCTGAATTAGAAAATCATGTCTACAAATGTTGGTGCTACAGATGTTTTAACACTGATAGGTTAGCAACCCACTACAACGTTATTTATTTCAACACTGACAGGTTAGCAACCCACTACAATGTTATTTCAACACTGATAGGTTAGCAACCCACTACAATGTTATTTCAACACTGACAGGCTAGCAACCCACTACAATGTTATTTCAACACTGATAGGTTAGCAACCCACTATAATGTTATTTCAACACTGATAGGTTAGCAACCCACTACAATGTTATTTCAACACTGATAGGTTAGCAACCCACTACAATGTTATTTCAACACTGATAGGTTAGCAACCCACTACAATGTTATTTCAACACTAATAGGTTAGCAACCCACTACAATGATATTTCAACACTGACAGGTTAGCAACCCACTATAATGTTATTTCAACACTGACAGGTTAGCAACCCACTACAATGTTATTTCAACACTGATAGGTTAGCAGCCCACAAAAATGTTATTTCAACACTGATAGATTAGCAACCCACAACAATGGTATTGTTCTTGCTGTAGCTGATTAAAGTGATTTTCAAAATGAGTTGACTACCAATGAAAAGAGTTTAAACTGTGAAAGAAACTGTAGAAATATTTCTAAAACATCACATTCTCAAGCTTTTCTTTGTTTTGTTTTGCATCTGCTGGAATGTCATGTTTATGAATTTAATGTAGAACTGTCACTAAAACATCACATTCCTCAACTTGGATTTCCTAATAGGCTCATTGATGCTTTGAAAAGTTAGTTATTTCTAACAGCAACTTGCTGATGTAATTTCCTCTAATCTGGACTTGGAGTCCAAAGGTTCTGCCAACCAACTACTGATCTGAGTGCTTGGTGTGACACTGTGAGATGTTATATTCATCTGGAATGTGTTTTTTTCTGTTGTGCCTTTGGTGGTTTCATGTTGTGAAATGCACTAAATATGGTAGGTGTCCAATTACATTTGTATTAGTGTGTACTTATGCAATGTTGTGTGTCCAATGTCAGCTTTTGTGACTGACTACTGCAAGAACAGTAGGCTGCAGCTCTGATGGAAGACAGTTGGTGTTGGCACATCTGATGGCTACCTTATGTGCTTATATTGTTGGGACTGTAGGTTTTAACTAGTTTTTCTAATGGAACAGTGAAGGAAATTTTGTATGATATTCACTGGCACAGAAAAGGGTCTGTCATGGGAAGACCCACCTGCAGTGACGTTGCAACATCCACAAGCTAACTAATTCCTCAGCTTACTTTTGTTGTGCTATCTGCCGATTCCTTTGTTCCAAGATCTCAGACAACTTCTGGCTAGCATGCGTGAGTCTATCCTCCATTGCTGATTTCAATAAAGCATTGTTTTCTCTGGGAAAGGTAACAAGGAAACAAGGTGCTTTAAATTACTTTGATTTATCAATCAAACAAACTAAACTGCAAGCAATTCAAACACAGATTTCATTATAACTACTACTATTAAGCCATTTCACTGTTTTCTGCATTCAACCTTGAAAGGCTGGCTGGCATGTTATGTTGTGGTTTACAGTTAGGCTATGTTATCTGTTGGTCCAACACATTTGATCTTATCAGATCATTAATTAGTCACCTTTTACAACATACTTATCAACTCTTTCAGTGTAAAATGAGGCGGTCATAATCCTGAGGATTCTGAGCCGAATGGCTGGTGCAGTTGCCACAGACTCTGCAGGTCAGGGTTTTACTTTTGCCCCTGACAAAAACCCATCATCTAACTGAGCATTCAAACATAGGTCTTCAAAATCAGAGCCTAGCATTCTCAACCATTTGGCCAGTACTCCTCTAATCAATTTCCTGTATAAAGATCTTTAATACCATCTGTATAATTATCTACTATGCCTTCTGTATAATGATCTATAATACCTTCTGTATAATTCTTTTTCTTCTCTTCTTCTTCTTTTTCTTCTTCTTCTTCTTCTTCTTCTTCTTCACTGTTAGTCCGAGTGACATAAATATATTGTGCCTCTTCACAGTATTGTGATATCTGTGTCTTTCAGGTGACACATCTGACTTCTGCAGGCATTTATTATCCGGGCTAGTTTTCAAATTGGTTTTGTGGAACATTTGTAGCTTTACATGTATGGTAATTTCATCATCCACTCATCCACGGGGGTTGTCCCTAGAGAACCATCTAGAACAGCCGTGTGCAGATTGGTTGATCCTCCAGGGAAGGCAAGGGCAGAGCATTGGCATTCTCTAACATCTATGGAGGCTTCCATAAATGCGGAGCCAATACATGGAACTATGGTATTGGGCTCATCCAAGGAATTGTCATTTTCTGCACATGAGTGCTTATTCTCACATCTGTATAATGAGCCTTTGAATTGTTACGAGCTGTGCTCTATAGGTATCCCCAAGAATCAGTCTGCATACCTGATTCTCTGAAAAAATGAGCATTTAGCTTCCTCTGCATGTTAGACTTCTCTATCTGACAACAGCACCTTTCACATAGATGCACCAGGGACTGCAAATGGGAAGCATGTATGAAACATGGCTTCTCTGTAAGATCATTACTCTCCAATAAAGGAATGCTTATAGGGAATGTTTGAACCTTTTGTAACATAAAGTAGGATTTTTGAGTGAGAACATCTCAGCCTTTGATATCATACAATAGGGCACTAACTAGGCGATGGACGTTTGAACCTAAGCAGCCGTACAGCAGAATTCGGTCAAAATATGTTTGAGCTAAGGTTTGTGTTACAGCAAGACTTTCAGATGACAGAAATGCAAACCTTTGCTGTTTAGTATGGTATTTGGATAGTGGACTTCAGGCATACTGTAAATGAGTTTTTGATGGCCTGGGCTGAGGACTATGATAGGTTTTCTGGTCAACTCATCTCTAGCGACCACTAGCTCAGTTTAGGCTGATACAAGCCATTATCCACAGTGCACAATGAGGAAAGGTGGTAAGACTCTTGCATAGAGCCTGTGAGTTAATCTCCTTTTAAATATAACACCAACCCCAACTTTCCCTCATGACAGTGATGGAAATCACTGTGCCACCCTTCTGTTCAATGATTTGTAACGCCTTTTGCATAACAATCAATATCCTTCTAAAGATCTATATTACTTTAAAAAATACCTATAATACTGTTTCAATCTCAGAGTAAAGTAAAAGTAAAGTAAAGTAAAGTAAAGTAAAGTAAAGTAAAGTAAAGTAAAGTAAAGTAAAGTAAAGTAAAGTAAAGTAAAGTAAAGTAAAGATCCCTTTTCACGCCTTGGGTGCATCAGGCATATGGGAAGAGCACCTTATATTTTTACTGACCAATCGGCACTAGGTGGGTAATGTGGTCAGCATTACACCGGTCGTCTTTACTTCCCCAGGACATCAATCCTGGTATCCATTTTAGACTGGGTCAACATGTGACACCAATACAATGATAAAAAGCCACGCTGCAAGCAGTGGGTTTCGATCGCGGTAAGTTCGAATTATGAGCAATGTCTAAGCCACAGACGCCGCAATCTCAGAGTTAGATTAATCATAAACTGACCAACTATGCCACAGTCACAAGAATGGTGATTTATCAAAGTATTTATTTTTCTAATCTAATAGCACATGAAAATAGCATTAAAATACAGGAACTTAATTCACAGAGTTACTATGCAACGTGCATGTGTGTGTGTGGTGTGTGTGTGTGTGTGTGTGCGCATGTGTGTGTGTGTGCGCAAGTATGTGTATGTGTGTGTGGGTTAGGGGATGTGGGAGAAGGTGGGTGGGGCTATGTTTCTCGGGGGGAAAAAAATAAGGGAAAAAAAGCTGTAATAATAACTAAAAATAAGATGCCCACTGCTGAAAGAAGTACAAATTAGAAAGACTAACCACCTCGGTCATATTTTAAAAAATATAACATTGTACTATCAACTATAACTGAGAGAAAAGATTATAATAAAAGATCTACAATCTGTTAAAAATGTTTGACAAAAAAATATTTAAGACAAAATCAGTATACACTGAGGAAACAGCCTAAAAATGTGAAATAAAATCTCAGGACATAGAGTTATGGAAATCCATTAGCAACAGCATATGCTGCAAATTTCAATAATGCGGACACAAACAATACATTGCACAACTTATTGCCAGGCATATTTCACTGTATTTGGTCAGGTGCGTTACTACAGACTTACAAAAACATAAAAAATCATAAAAACCGAAAAAATCCAACAGAAATGTGAATAGTTTCTTTCGATGCATCATGGTGTTTTTAGTCGCTGGAAGTTCACCCTAGTCACGTGACTTACCATGGTAACTTAAATTTACTATAAATTCCATCTGCTTACAAAGAAGGGATTTGTTGATTTTAATTGTTAAAGCTTTGGCCATTCTCAGCAGTCGCCTGGTCTGTGTGTGATAAACCACATGGAAAGCACTGTCTGTGTCAATTACGTGTCCAGAATTAAGCAGATGACGTCCTATGGAAGAAGTAAGTTCTTTCCTCTTGACTTGTCTCGACACCCTTGAAGAATCACTGAGCTGTGTATGTAGCCATTCGGGTATGTGCTCTGCCACTCTATTTCCTAGCTGTCTCTCCGTTCGACCGATGTAAGTAAACTGGCACTTATATGTAAATTGATAAATGCAATTGGATTTGGTGTATGGAGAAATTAGCTGTTTCATAGGTGGAGTGGTCTTGTGCCTCACTACTGTTACTGCTGCAAAGAATGTTTGGCCAGCAGCTGTTCTGAGTCAGTACTGCAAACGCTGCATGAGGTCATCACCTCAATAAGTCAGTTGGATGAAAACCTGTAGTCTGGGTACTGTAATTTCATTTGAGGTATGGTTGGGTAGGGTGAAGTGACATTTAATGAATCCTATGTGGTACCCATTCGATAGTAGCAGAGATGGCACTAGATGATGATTATAGTAATGATGATGATGATAATAAATACTTACGCCTCTTGATTTTTCAGAAACTGCAGTCGCTTTTCATATTTCTCTCTTTCTTGTCGGTTGTGCAAGAATGTCTTCTATTAGGTTAAAAAAAAATATATATATATATGTATATATACACACACACACACATATATATATATATATATATATATATATATATATATATATATATATATATATATATATATATATATATATATAAAAACTGATTAAAAAATAACTATTCATTCAAAAATAGATACACACAAAGAAATAGGAAGTTATTAGATAGAGCACATCATAACAGATCAATAATGCATAGTGAACACTGCTATAAGGACTAATTTGTTTACTGTTTCAATTTTAATCAAACAAATATAAACTACAATCTCTACAACAATGTTAACACATAAACAACAAAGTTAATTGTGTATCTTTTGCATGTTGTTGCAGAGCCATCCCCAGCATTTGTTGGCTATTTGGGCTTTTACTAGGCAATTTTACTATCTGTAGTCATTGCTTTCTGAACAGTCAGCATTCAATATTATTGTTAAAGTCTACACAAAGCAGTTTGCTGCTAAATCACTTGTAGCTGGAATCAAATTGGGTAGTTCAGAATTACAAAGCATGTTCGCAATGTCTAAGCCACAGATCTCTCCATATTCAAAACTATAACTTCACTGAATCTGTAAGGTTATACACATCAAAACTTTCAAATAATTCAAAACTCAGATTTATTTTTGTGTACGTTTTATTTTTAAATGTAATTATTCTTTTTCTTCTTCTTTGCTTTCGATGACAAAGGAGATAAAGGTTTTGATTCATGCAATGCAGAGAGATAAAGATCTGGGTCTATACAGCGTAGTGTTTCTTCCTTTCCATATTATTCTTGTTCTATCTGATACTCTATCCGCCTCTCTATCTCTTCTTGTCTATATGTCTTCTTTTGAAGGGTATCACAGTGCAGTCTCAAAGTGGGCAAATCAATGTACTTGCCATCTAATTGCTCCAACTTAGACCTTAGACAGAATGGAAATAAAGCAAGGACTTTAGTTAAAAAACATCTCCGGAGAAAGTAGAAGGGTGAACCCAAAACCAGTGACAAATGGGAGTAAGACAATCACTGAAGACAAGAAGAAAGCAGAACATTTCAATCATTTTTTTTGACTTGCTTAACAGAGCAGGTAAGCTGTCAGAACTCGATAGAACACAGCTCTCTCAGTTGAAGAAACAAGAGAGAGCTCCAACAGCCAGCGACTCCCTTTTTGAAGATGAATTTAGCATGGATGAATTAGAGCAAGCCCTGAAGAAATTAAAACCTAGAAAATCCCCAGGCCCAGATAAGATACACAATGAAATGCTGCTTCATCTTGGCCGGTCTGGGAGAGAAGTAGTTCTCAGGCTTATTAATAAAACTTGGAGGTCAAGCAAACTTCCAAAGGCATGGAGGAATGCATATATCGTCCCCATTCTTAAAACCAAAAAGCCTCCAGATGACCCCAAAAGCTACCGCCCGATATCCTTAACATCATGCTTGGGCAAAGTTGCAGAAAGAATGATAAACAGGCGCTTATATTGGTTCCTAGAGAGTTCTGGTGTTCTATGCCATGAACAGGCAGGCTTCAGAACCAACAACTGTACAGAAGACCAGCTGTTCAGACTGACACAAAGAATACATGATGGCTTCCAAAATAAGAAACACACAGTGGCCGTCTTTGTCGACCTCCAGCTGGCCTATGACAGAGTATGGAGAAAAGGTCTCCTGATGAAGATGATGAGCATAGGAATACATGGCAGGTTGTATAACTGGGTGAAATACTTTCTGACAGATAGAACAATCCAGACTAAGATACACAACGCAATCTCTTCTAAAGAAGTCTTGGAGGAGGGCTTGCCACAAGGCTCATCATTGAGCTGTACACTGTTCCTAATCTTTATCAATGACTTGCCAGAACAAATCAAGGCCATCAAGGCTGAAAAAGCCTTGTATGATGATGACCTAGCAGTATGGCAGAGTCATGAGAATGTGGAAAGTGGAGCTCAAAGACTAAATGGAGACCTTAGAAGACTGCATGAGTACTTCCAAAGATGGAAACTCAAGGTTGGCTAAACAAAGACGGTCTACACAGTCTTTACCAAAAGCCATCAAGTAGCAAGGAAGAATATTAACCTGAGGTTAGACAAACACCAAGTGATGAAAGAAGAGCATCCTACATACCTTGGAGTCACACTTGACCGGCAGCTCAGCCTCAAGAACCATATTGAAAACGTAAGGAATAAGGCATTGAAGCGGTTACAGTTATTAAAGAGACTTGCAGGTACATCATGGGGATCAAACAAGGAAACTCTGAGGGGCTTATATCTTGGATATGTTCGCTCTGTGATAAAGTACAACAATTGACTGCTTACAACCTGCTCCAAAACTAACCTAGAGACTCTTGACAGAGTACAAAATAATGCCCTCCGATTAATCTGTGGAGCTATGCAGTCTACACCAACTGCTGCATGTGAAATCCATACAAATGTGGAACCTCTCGGGTTACGGAGAGAAAACGCCACTTTAGAAATTTATGTAAGATGCGTTAGAAAGAATCATAACCATCCTAATAGACATCTTGTAGAAAACTGAGAATACAAACAAAGAATAAAGCACAAATCAGTTTTACATTGTGTTAATGAAATTCAGGACAGATAACACCTCCCAGAAAGACGTCAAGGAATTCAGAATGTTGCAAGAAACCTACCACCACATGCTCGCTTTAAAGATCCAGAAGTCCGAATTAAATTGGTAGGTGAGGAAACCAAACAGTCCGACCCAATCGCTCTTATGAACTCATCACTAAAGACTGTTGATTCTTACCCCCAAGAATGGATACATGTTTATACTGATGGATCTGCATTTAAAGCTACCATTAAAGCAGGTTGCGGGATCCACATAGGTTAATTCTGTTCAAATTATGAAGCCGAAATAATTGCACTGGAAACAGCAGTATACCACCTAAAGACTGTAATGGATGTTTACCCTTCAAAAGCCGAAAATATTGACATCTTCACAGATTCAATGTCTGCCCTTCAAGCTCTGTAGGGCAGTGAACGCTGCAGAACTGACAAAGCCAAGAAAATCCTAGATGCTGATCAGCTTATTACCTCATTCAACATCAGAATAATGATGCAGTGGATTCCAGGCCACTCCGGCACACCAGGTAATGACAGAGCTGACAGATTGGCAAAGAAAGGAGCAACACAAGAACAACCACCTACAGCGACAACCCTAAAGACAGCAAAAACACTTATAAGAGCTATAAACAAAGAGACTTGGTTGAACAGATGGGCCATGAGAGACACTGGAAGAGAGGTTTATAGACATATGGCTGGTCCTGATCCTAATGACAGCATTAACCATCTAACAAGAAGAGACCAGGCCACCATCTTCAGACTTAGAACGCAACATACTCCACTCAGTGGACATCTAAACAGAATACAGCCACAACACTCCCCAGAGTGCCAGCTATGTAACTACCCCTAGGAAACTGTTGAACACCATCTCTTTGAGTGCCCAAAACTCAGCGAGACTAGAAGAATGCTACTCCCTCCGTGCTTGTGAAAACATGCAAATTCCATTACATGGCATTGGGTCAAAAGGCGAAAGCTCATGCGCTGCTGGATCGATAACAACAACAACAACAACAACAACTTGCCATCTAAGTAAATGGAATCACATTACATGACAAAAATATAGTATACAAAATGCATATTTCACACTAAAATACAAAGTATAATTTAAAAAAAAAAATAGGATTTCTAAAAAAAATCTCAACTGACCAGGCTTTCATGATGTATCTTCATCTCCTTTCTCTCATTGGCTGATTCTTCATCAATGATGTGCTTTGCCAGCAATAACTGTTTTTCTGCATCATCAGTTTTATCCTTTGTTTTCATGTTTATTTCCTAGGATTAGAAAACATTGATTTATTCAACGTTGGTTTTCAAGTCTGTTTTGTTGTAAATAAAATCCATATTTAGTCAACATTGGTATTTATGTTTATTTCCTAGCTAACAAAACACATACTTATTCATTTTGGTTTTTATCTTATTTTTTTTTTGTTTTTTGTTTCAAAGAAAATTATTAAGAAGTATAATTTGATTTTCATGGTTATTTCCTAGCAAAGTAATCACATATGAGGAGTGCTACAGTGCTTCATAAATCCGTATCCTTCTGTGAACAAGTAATCAGGAAAAAAATTAAAATTGATCCGATTAAAGTTCGTTATAGGAAATTAAGAGCAGAATAGGCCAGGCTAATACTGCACTTCACAGATGAAGAACATCTTGTGCAACAGGTGCCTCTCTTTGGAAGTCCAGATATACAATGAGACAGTTACTGGTACCATCGGAATTTTAACTCTTTGCTTGCTGCTGAAGATGGGGACGAAGCGCTTATGGGGGTGTCCCGAGTGCTGTGATGTTGATTCTTAATTCAACATTCAACATATCCAGCACAGTTAAGCTGAGTAAAAGCACAAATGCTAGAATTTTCCAGAACAGACTGCACATGAGAAAGGTGTGCACCCGCTGGGTTCCATGCCTGCTAAAACATGAACAGAAGACAATTATGGTACCATGCTGTCTAGGTTATTCAGAAAGTGTGCCAGAAAACATTCTGATGACTATGGTGACAGCAGATGAGACTTTGTTCATCATTATGACCCCCGATCCAATATCCAAAATTGTCAGCATGCACTGGAAAACAGGTTACCCAACAACTGGCAAACAAAGAGCACTAAATCTGCAGGGAAAGTGAACAAACCAGGGATTCAATAAACAAACTTTATTTTTAAAGGGTGACAAACTGGGCACGCAGGACCGTCTGTATGTAATCAAAAGCACTCATCTTTCAGATAAAATGTTATCATACATGCATGTTATGTATATGTATACACAATTTCAACACTCAAACACACACAACATAACGTACTCATAATTTTACACTTCACATACACCCACATAAATACTCTCATATTCTCATACATATGTACACATCACATACATACAACATGTAATACATACATACATACATTACATACATTACACACATGCACGCACACATGCACGCACGCACACATGCACGCACGCACACCATACATACATACATACATACATACATACATACATACATACATACATACATACATACATACATACATACAGGCATGCATGCATGCATGCATGCATGCATGCATGCATGCATGCATGCATGCAGGCAGGCAGGCAGGCAGACAGACAGACATGTTATATATTAAGTAAAATTCGCAACACAAAACTGCCATGGCACAATAGAAAAAACATTCCAAATGAAATAAAATCCACCGTTAAAGTGGTTTATTTTTTTTTCTCAAACTTCACTCTTCAGCAGTTTGTGTATTCTAGACAAAGCAATAAGGTCTACTGTGTTCGTAAATTGTGGCTGTGATTGTTATTCGACATTTGCTTCGTTAATATAAATTTCTGTAACCTATGGTGCCATTTCAATGGGTTGAAATGAATCTGTCCGTATTCCATAGTCGTGGATTTCAAGCTGTACGATAGACATGGCCAATGAGACACCTTTTTTTTTGGGGGTGCCTAGTTGACCAGTATCTTAGTGCACTTGTATTCATGGCGAAGACGCCGTCTGGAGGTGACAGGTTCAATTCCCGGCAAACTATAGCTTTCGATTTTATGTTGTCTAGTAGTTCTTCTATCTTTCTACTTCTTTCTTTGAGTGCCGTTCAGAAACTTTCTTGTTACTTGATTAATTCATAATATTTAACGGCCTCAATGGTTCCCCCTCTGTTTATTTATAGGAATGAAGCTGAACCTACCAATCAAATACCTTTCTTAAATGTTTGTGTATTCTAGACAAAGCAAAAAGGTCTACTGTGTTCGTAAATTATGGCTGTGATTGTTATTCGACATTTGCTTCGTTAATAAAAATTTCTGTAACCTATGGTGCCATTTCAATGGGTTACTTTCTGTTACTTGATTAACTCTTCAGCAAGCAATTTGAAAATCAAATAGAAACTTTAAAATGTGACTTTGGAGAAGAATCTGTAAGGATTCCAGAGAAAATGACAATAAAAAAAACTGGGGTGGAAGAAATAAAAAGATACAAATCATTTATATTAGCCAGATTAGAAACTTGCGTTTATTAAAACTACACAGCAGGATGAAGCTGAAGGCAGGTGAGCAAGGGGCAGGTAGTGATACAAGTAAGAAGATCAAGAAATGTATGAACAGTGATACCTGAAAGTTTACCATCAGAACAAGATACAGAAAGTGTTGGATAGCTACCACTGCTCTCTTTATTGTAGATATTAGTCAATTTATCAAATGACTGATCTTCGTAATTTAATCGCAAACATGGAGAGGTTGCACTTGAAACGAGTAAAATAAAGAGCAATGTTACATCTGTGTACAAAATGAAAACTATTTATTTAATTGTAAAAACTGTACTTATTATAAGGGCTGTACCGAATAGTGATTTTCGCTATTCCGCCGAATACGAATAACGGGACCAACTATTCGGCCAAATAAAAACACAAATACGAATAGTGTATAGTGTATAAAATATATCTACCAAAAAAACGCACACATTCATAATGTCAAATGTAGGCTGAACTTTTACTTCACATAAAGTAGCAAAGAATAGTCATCTTCTTTAGCATTCTGAGCCCTTGAGGTTTACTGCTGCAGATATCACTCGTCTCCATTCATTTCTCTGGCTGGCCTTATCTTCACAATTTGTGACACCAGTTGTTTGCAGGTCTGGCTGGACATTATCTCTTGAACTTCTTTTTTGTCTGCCTCGTGGTCTACGCCCATTCCTCTTTCAGGTGTATATAGTTTTTACTTCTCTGTGATCTGACATACTTTCAGTGTGCCCCAACCATTTTAGTCTGTTAGCTCTCATGATGCCAGTGATCAATGGTGATTTAAACAGATTATGTGTTACACTGTTGCTTCTCACTCTTAATTCTCCGCTATTAGCATCTTTGATGGGTCCAAAGATTTGTCGTAAGAATATTTTCAAAAACCTGTAATAAGGCCTCATCTCTTTCATTTGTGCTTCAAGTTTCAGGGCCATATAAACGACCGTTCTTATCAATGTTTTATATATTTTGATCTTGGTGTTGCGAGACAGACACTTTGACTTTAGCAGATGTTGAAGGGCATAGTATACTTTATTTCTAGATTGTATTCTAGATTTTATTTCTTCTCTCAGCATGTTGGAGCAGTTGAAGTTTGCACCCGAGTACTTGTATGTTTCCGTTCGTTTGATTTTCATATTTTCGACTTGGATGTGGCTGAAGTTTATTATATTCTTTCTGTGTCTAGTTAGTATTTGTACAGAATAGTAAACATTTAAAAATATTTAATGTTTTGCATCCTTCAGTCAGTCTGTGGCAACTAATAACTAGGAATGAAATAATCCTTAGTATTATAACAAGTAACTAAACTTGGAAATTGTCACTGACAGCTTAGTTAATGCAGGAAAGCTGCATTAGCTTTCAACAAAACCAATCGTTCCATGTTGTCAGTATTAAGGCCGTGTATACAGAAGCGGGTGTAAGGTAACTACTATTCGTATTCGGCCCAACCGCAACTATTCGGCCGAATACCAATAGTCAATAGGTCCACTATTCGGCCCCGTAGCAAATGCGAAGCGAATATTGGGTACAGCCCTACTTATTATCCTTCTTCTGCCTTTCTATCCCTCAATGGAGCATAGGCCCTCAAACAACTCACGCCAAGTCATTCTATCCTTCGCTATAACATGAAGCTCTCCCCATGTCCTCCCAATCTTTCTAACCTCATTCTCCAGCTCTCTTCTTCATGTGCCTTCCTTTATTCCTATGCCCCTGTGGGTTCCAATGCAAAGACATTCTAGTTATGCGGTTCTCCTGTTTTCTCAATGTGTGTCCTATCAAACGCCAGTATCTTTTCCTCACCTGTTGATCCACTGGAGCTTGCTTAGTTCTCTCCCAAAGCTCTACATTAGTCATTCTATTATACCATTTAATTTCCTTTATTCTGCACAGGCACCAGTTAATGAATGTCTGTAATTTATTAGCAATTGCCTTAGTTGTTCTCCATGTTTCCGCCCCCTACAAAAGTACTGATTTGACATTAGAATTAAAAATTCTAAGTTTAGTGTTTCTTTTAATTATTTTACCTCCACAAATTCCCTAGTGCTATGACAACTCCTCTTGCCTTTTATATTAACTTATTTTAATATCTCTATCAGTTCCTCCATCTTTATCTACATTCATCATTGGCACCTTTTCGTCTTTCCAGACAATAGTGTTATGAGGAGGCATGAGACTCACAGCCCATGGCGATGACAAGTGTGACTAGAAAGGCCCGCCCATGACAAAAAAAGTCTTCCACAATGGTAGCATGGGATTTCAGGACTATTGTTGTCTTGTGTTTAATCCATTTCTTTTCAGACGCTCAGCTCTCATCCTTTCTGCAATCATTTCTTCCTTCAGTCTTATTCCCTTCCTGATATGCCCTTTCCACACAACACGGTCCATGGCATTTTGTTCCCATGAGTCCACCTCAATACCTGTATCATTCATGTCCTGCTTGCACACATCTTTATATCGTAGTAGAGGTCGGCCTCGACATCTTCTTCCTGTCCTTAATTCACCATAGAGGATGTCCTTAGGGACTCTGCCATCCTCCATTCTGCAGGTGTGACCCAGTCACTTGAGCCTTCGTAGACTGAGCATGGAAAAGACTGTTGTAGTACCTGCTCTTTCCAATACCTCAGTGTTTGTGATTTTGTCCTGCCACTTAATGCCAAGTATTCTTCTTAGGCATAGCATGTGAAAGCTATTAAGCTGTCTCACCTGGTGCAAATAGGTTGACCAAGTTTCACTGCCATAAAGCAGAGTGCTGAGAACTAGGGCTGTACCGAACAGTGATTTTCACTATTCGGCCGAATACGAATAGTGGGACCAACTAATTGGCCGAATACGAATACGAATAGTGTATCATCATCATCAGGTGCCTTGTTGGCTGGCGTGGGTGATCATGCCTCGCCACAATCTGCGATCTCCTGCATCATGTATTAGTTTGTGTGCTGACACACTTCTATGCCATGCAACAAGACTGTCACGAATATTCTCTCGTTGCCTTCCTCTATCCCTTCCTCCACAGATCTTTCCAGTGGTCACCACATGTTCTATTTTCCTTCTTCTTATAACATGGCCGAAAAATGATACCTGTCTCATTCTGATGTCTGTGATTAGTTGTCTTAAGGCTCCCACCTCTTTCAAAACCTCTTGGTTGCTTTATTTGGCTGTCCAAGGAATTTTAAGCATTGTTCTGTAAAACCACATCTCTGAGGCCTCAAGAAATTGTTTGGCCTGCCTACCAATTGTCCAGGACTCACAGCCATATGTTAAAACTGGATGCATGTAGCAAGTAAGAATTCTTTTCTAACCTTCAATGACAAAGATATATTGCATAAGATGTTCTTCATTTTATAAAATGCAGTTTTTACCTTTCCTTAATTCGACAGTTGCTAGGAAACACAATTTAAATTTTAACATTTAAATATCTTCATGCCTTTAATAATGTCACAATTTATAGCCGACTTTTCTTGATTTTTGCAGCAGTACCCAGCGGCATATGCACCCAGTTTGAGAATCTTTCCTGTAATGCCTCGGTCGAGTCAGCAGGCAAAGACCTTGCCAGATGCTGTACCATGCAACCGGGTCGCAGTTTTACCCGCTACGACTGACTCAGCAAAAGCAACTATCGTGTTGAAGAGAGAGTTATTTCAGTCCATTGCAGTGTATGCAGAAACGGGTGTAAGGTAACTACTATTCGTATTCGGCTCAACCCCAAGTATTTGGCCGAAAACCGAATAGTTATTATTAGGTCCACTATTTGGCCCTGAAGCAAATACGAAGCGAATATCCGGTACAGCCCTACTGAGAACACAAACCTGATAGATAAGGGTTTTTGTTTTAATTGTGAGCTTTCTGTTCTCCCTAACTCTCTTCGTCAGTCTGCTCATTGTTGTTGCTGACTTACCTATCCTGATGTTGATTTCTTGGTCCATCAGTTCCTCCATCTTGATCTACATTACTGCCCAAATCGGTGTACGACTCCACGTTTTGGAGTGGGGTGCAATTAAGAGAAACCACATTACTATTTGCCTGATTTATTCTCATTATCTTTGTCTTTCCTTTATGGAATTTCAGACCTAGCTCCTGTGGTCTCGCATCAAGTATATTTAATTTATTTTGCATCTGTTTCCGTGAATAGGACAGAAATATCATCAGCAAAGTCCAGATCATCAAGCTGTTTTGTAGGGGTCCACTGAATTCCATTCTTGGTGTTAGCAGTTACTGTCTTTATAATCCAGTCTATATGTTTCTGTTCTTTCTTGCCAAGAACTTCTACACAAGATTCATTCTAGATTCCTTTGATCTGATCCCAGCAGACTTCAGGGCTGACATCTTCAGCTAACTGCTGCAAGACCTGGTACTTATTAGAGACTGTAACTGAAAAATGTTCCTTAACTTCTTTATCCCTGAGATAACCTACATTATACTGGTTTCTATAATTATAAAATGTTATATATCTTTTAAGTTTCAACTTGATTTTACTTAATACCAGAAAATGGTCAGTAAATACATTGGCGCCTCTAAAAGCCCTAGCATCGTAAAGGGATGATCTAAACTTTTTGCTAATACATAGTTGATCAATTTGATTGGTTGTCTTATGGTCTGGTTATGCCCATGTTGTCTTGTGTATTCTTTTATGGGGGGAAAAAATTCCATCAATAACATACTGGTGTCATGCACAAAAATTTGTGAATAATTCTCCATTTTCATTCATTACTCCATGCCTTCGCATATTCTCTTCATAACCTGTGTTACTGACCCTGTCTTAGCATTCAGGTCACCCATCAAATTTGTTATTTTGCCCCTTTCTTTCATTATTTATAATATTTTGAAGCTGCATGTAAAATTCTTCCTTAACAGATGCATCTTTAACATTTGTTGGTGCGTAACACTGTATTACTGACATGTTCATCTTCTGTTTCGCTGTTCTAAATGACACTCTTATTATTCTGGGACTCACAGCTTCCTAATCTATTAGTACCCAGTCTGCTTCTTTCGATAGCATCAGGGCCACTCCTTCTATGTGGGGTGAATTTTCCTCTGTTTGTCCTGAGAACAAAATAGTTTCCCCTGAATTTAGAATAATTTTCCTCGCCCCAGTCCATCTAGTTTCACATAACACTAAAATACTAATTCTATAATGTTTCATTTCCCTTACTACTTCCATTGTTCTCCCTATATCAAAGAGAGTTCTAACATTCCAGGTGCCAATTCTGGAGGTTTTCCTAGCTGAGAGGAGGTAAGTCAACGATCCGGACTCCTTACGGCTTTCTCCACACTGTGTTATACTTCTTCTATTTGAAGAGCCTCCCCTCATCTTGGTTGGCTGGGTTTTACTTGCTTCTCTTTTTGACTTTTCCATGATTGGTTGGTTTTTGTGGCTAATGATTTTACAGAATGAAGTAGCCAACCTCAAGCCCAACCCTACCCTTAGTCGCCTCTTACGACATGCCTACTTATTATCCACCTTTGTTTATTTTTTCCAATGGGTTGCTGGGTAAAATAAAATAGGAAAGAACTGTACCTGTATTTCTTTCTTGACTGCTTCTTTTCTTATTTTGTCTGCCATCTGCAGTTCCTGAAATAATTGAAAAAATGTATAAGATCTTCAGTAATGAAAATAAATATTAATAATGCATTTTGCAGGTGACTGGGTTTTCTTGGGTTTACAAAAGAATAATATAATTTTAAAAGCTGTCAATTTTGTTTTGGTCGGGTGTGATCATATGTGAATTACTAGACAATATAGTCACATAACTTTTGTAATTAGCTAATTAATTTTGTCACACCAGGAGACCAGATCTGGTGGGTAGTGGGGCAAGAGTATTCCATATTAAAGGATTCAAGGAGAAAAGACTGACTTCCAGCTGTTAACTCACAAGACACTTTTAAGCAAGGTAGAGTACCTGTTCATCCCCTTAATCAGAGTAAAGTTAAACCATTAGAGTGTGTTATTAGATTGTGCTCGAGAGCAGCTGAAACAGAAAGCTGCTGGTCATGGTTTCAAGTTCTTGATAGAAGCAGAGGATCAATTTAAAATGACAATGGATGTGGTGACTGACCTTTATGGTCACTATAAAAAAAAACCTTATTGGAAACTATATTCTTTACAGACGTCTGGAATAGGTAATCAAAATCCCAGATCTGCCTCCTGCTGGCTTCTAAAGGCAAAGCTCCTGATGAATGAGAGGCTCAATATATGGAATTGATGTAAAACAGTAATATGCAGAATGTGAAGATTCCTTGGGTAAGCCAAGTACCTGAGCACCATGTATTGCCTCTTTATTTATGGAAGCCTCCTTAGGTGGACTCAAGCTCTGCCTTCTCTTAACGGCTGACTTACGAAGCTACTCTGGACCAGCCTGATAGAGGGCACTATTTATGAACTGGAAAACAAAGATGACTACACAGCAGTGAGACTGTAATGTCCCACAAAGCCAACCAGGAAGGCTAACCTGGTCAACAAATGCCTGCAGAAGTCAGATGTGTGCAAATATTGCAGCCATGAAGTAAACAGCCACAACAAAGTTACATCTTCAGATGAACATAGAAGAAGGGCAATAAGCAGATAAGCTAAGAGTCAGATGAAGACAAGAAAATGACATTCCTGTGGCAAATCTGGCAGGAAACTCTGAAAATGTAAACTTTGTAAAGGTTAACTTTGCAAACGTAAACTTGGTGGGAAAATAGCATAAGGAAGAAAATGAGATTAAAATGTGGATGAAATAACAACCACATAGTGTAACTGTGTCAAGGCCACATGATCCATGATGTTCTCAAAATTCTTTTATAAAACCACATCCCTGTAGTTTCCTTATAAGTTGTCATCAACTGACTGACCATCCATCATTCACACACACAAGTTGTCATCAACTGACTGACCATCCATCATTCACACACACAAGTTGTCATCAACTGACTGACCATCCATCATTCACACACACAAGTTGTCATCAACTGACTGACCATCCATCATTCACACACACAAGTTGTCATCAACTGACTGACCATCCATCATTCACACACACACACACAAGTTGTCATCAACTGACTGACCATCCATCATTCACACACACACACAAGTTGTCATCAACTGACTGACCATCCATCATTCACACACACAAGTTGTCATCAACTGACTGACCATCCATCATTCACACACACAAGTTGTCATCAACTGACTGACCATCCATCATTCGCACACACAAGTTGTCATCAACTGACTGACCATCCATCATTCACACACACAAGTTGTCATCAACTGACTGACCATCCAACATTCACACACACAAGTTGCCATCAACTGACTGACAATCCATCATTCACACACACAAGTTGTCATCAACTGACACCATCCATCATTCACACACACAAGTTGTCATCAATTGACTGACCATCCATCATTCACACACACAAGTTGTCATCAACTGACTGACCATCCATCATTCACACACACAAGTTGTTATCAACTGACTGACCATCCATCATTCACACACACAAGTTGTCATCAACTGACTGACCATCCATCATTCACACACACACAAGTTGTCATCAACTGACTGACCATCCATCATTCACACACACAAGTTTTCATCAACTGACTGACCATCCATCATTCACACACACAAGTTGTCATCAACTGACTGACCATCCATCATTCACACACACAAGTTGTCATCAACTGACTAACCATCCATCATTCACACACACAAGTTGTCATCAACTGACTGACCATCCATCATTCACACACATAAGTTGTCATCAACTGACTGACCATCCATCATTCACACACACAAGTTGTCATCAACTGACTGACCATCTATCATTCACACACACAAGTTGTCATCAACTGACTGACCATCCATCATTCACACACACAAGTTGTCATCAACTGACCGACCATCCATCATTCACACACACAAGTTGTCATCAACTGACTGACCATCCATCATTCATACACACAAGTTGTCATCAACTGACTGACCATCCATCATTCACACACACAAAATTTAATGAATAAACAATTACCCGCAAATGAAGCTGATTTATTAGAAGTGATTCTGCATGTAGCTGAGAGTTGTGGATATCTCGCTTCTTTAACTCTCTTTCTCTTTCCTCTTCCTGAACTCTTTTTTCTTCTGCTTCCAACTGTGTAAAAAAAAAAAACTATAAATTATAACGGAAATGCCACTTCATACCAAAAAAACTCTTTATATTCCCTGACTCTTTCTTTATTTCCTTCTGACTCCAGCTTTCTTTCACTCTCTGTACCTCTCTGTCCCTCTTTCTTTCTGCCTCCCTCAATCTTTTGCTTCTTATAAGTCACCTCAGCCTAAAGTGGATGCCAGAAATTTTAAATGTTGAATTAGGAATCAACATCACAGCACTCAAGACACTCCCATAAGCGCTCCGTCCCCCATCTTCAGCAGCAAGTGAAGAGTTCCAATTCCAGTGGCAACAGTAACTGTCTGATTGTATATCCATCTCGCCTTTCCCTTGAGTGTTGAGCATCAGCCAGATCCCCTGGCAACTCCTTGCAGCGCCATTTTCCTCAAACCGCAATAATCTATTTGCGCATCTGCACTGTTCACTCGCTCCCAGTGGGCCCTCACAACATCTAGCTTATCATACATCAATTCACTACCAAGTGGTGCAGAACCGGCCAGGCTATCTGCCTGCTATTTCCTAACACACTGGCATGACCTGGAGAGAATATCCAAAGGATGCTAGATACCCGTGACCTCGGAAGTGATGCTTTCCACTCTGCACAGAGAATACCTCTCTCCACCTTTCTCAACATGCTCTGTGAGTCAGTTACAATCAGGGCATGTGTGAACAGATGATTCTCAAGCCTGTAGTGACTGCCTATACCTCCATTCTCAAACTAGACACTGTGATATCATGTGGATGCCAGAAAATGTTATCTGCAGTGAATGCAAATGCATCATCCAGCCAGTTCTGCATGGTGTGTCTTCTTTTGTGTTCACTGGCTGTAAGCTCTTGTGGAAAGTCCTTGTTTTTCACCCATTTGAACTTGGCTTTGCGTGTATATCAGTTTTACTGGCTAATCTGTGTGTAGTTGGTTGTTTCTTGCTGCTCAGGCAGATGCACTCCAACTTCGAAGGAAGCCTCCAATTAGTCGACTTCTATGACATGCTTGTTGGGGAGGCAGTGGGTCTATTATTATTTTCCCAATAATGGGGCTCGGAAATCCAGGCGGGGAACTCGGTGTATATAAATATGCTTTTAGCACTGTGTGCCAAAATCCCCTTTATGGTGTGAGCAAGTGTCTATGACTTAGCTTACTTTACAGATCTAAAACTACCTTCACGCAGACATATACATGGATTGGAATCTATGACTACATGCGCAGATAGCAAACATGCTAGCCACTGTGCTACTACAGGTCTCTTTCAAATCTGTATTCAATATTGAAGTGAAGGTAAGCAAATGAAAAGCAAACCAAAACAAACTTAAGAGTCTAGTTTATTATTTCTTTCAGTTCCAGAAGATTTCAAAGTAGATGTTCAAAGAAGGAAATAACCACTATGATAAATCTTGAGTATAAAACTTTCAAAGAAGCAAAAGGAAATGCCAGATTTTGTTTCTTGGTATGCTATGACCAAATATAAGCCCCAGGTTTGGACCTGAAAATTTAAACATACTAGAAATTTGGGGGTGGTTGGGGGGGGGGGGGGGGGGGGGGGGGGGGGGGGGGGGTAAATGGCAGTTTAAGATGTAGAGGTTGTAGCAAATGATGGAACAAGGAAGGGAGAGAAGTTTAAAAGAAATAGATTCTATTTGAAATAGTTATCCTTACTGCAGCTGTAAAACATTTCACATGAACAACTTAAGCAGAGACACTTACTCTATGCATATTTTTGATCTGATTTTCCATTGCCAGCAATTCTCTCCTCTTATTTTCTGCATTGGTTCTCAAAGCCTCCTCTCTCCTTCTCTGGTCTTCCCACAATCTATGTGCATGCTCTCTAATCTCCAGATCTTTACACTCCTCTTCTCTGCGTCCTTGCATCAGTTTCAGAATCTTCTCATCCTAAGACAATCATTACACAGAGATGACGATCAAATACTGACATTCTCTAAGGTAATTTTTACAGAAATATGAATTTCAGTGTAACTAAGACGTCTTTAAAGAAACTAACTAACTCACATCAAAAAAATTTTTAATCTAGTCTAAGGGCCTTTAATGTGATGGGAAAATGAGTATATGTGATGCAGAGTCAGCGTCAGACCAAATGAGAAGACCTTACACTGTTTGTCATCATGTATAAAAAAACATCTATATCAGCAGTTAATAGCAATACATATTGACAGATGATGGCAGAAATGAAACTGAAATCAAAAAGAGAACAGGAATGGCTAAAACTATCTTCAATAAAATGCAAACAATTTTGGCAGTTAGAGAGATAAACAACATATTAAAACTGAGACTCATTCTATACTTTGCTATTGCATGCAGCTCCACCTATGTCTTCCCCATCTTTTTCACTTCACTCTCTAGCTCCCTTCTCCATGTGTTTTTTGTGGTCTTCCTTTATTTGTATGCCCCTCTGGGTTCCAGAGCAAAGATGCTATAGTTATATTGTTCTCAGGTTTTCTCAATGTGTGTCCTATCCAACGACAGCCTCTTTTCTTCACCTCTTGGTCTACTGAAACTTGTTTGGTTCTCTCCAAAAGCTCCATATGTGTGACTCTATCATTCCAATTAATTCCCTCTATTCTGCACAGGCACCAGTTGATAAATGTTTGTAGTTTATTAGTAACTGCCTCTGCTGTTTTCCATGTTTCCGTTGCATACAACAGTACTGATTTGACATAGGAATTAAACATTTTAAGTTTAATATTAGTTTTCATCTCTTCTGACCTCCACAATTTACCTAGTGCTATGAAAGGTCCCGTTGTCTTTTTTATTTGTGTTTTAATATCTCTATCTCTATCTCCCCCCCCCCCCCCCCTCCACCTTTTCAAAAAAGTTGCAAAGATCACATACAAAGTACAGTAGACAAAGATGATAAGAAACATCCATATCAGAGAAATGTGCATGCATTTAAAAAAAAACCTGAAATTTTACTAAATCTGTCAGAGGAAGACATTGGCCAAACCTCGATAGATATTAAGAATATAATTCAAACCACTGCAGAAGAATGTCTTTGTGTGACCATCATAAACAGAAAGAACAAATGGTTCAATAAAAAATTTGAAGAAGCAGTCAGTAAGAAAAAACATGTCAGGAAGATGTGACTAATCACACTAGCAACACATGAAACGAAGAAAAATATAGCACAGAATGTAAAAAAGGCACAAATGTAGTTAGGCACCAAAAGCGAGAATACATGAACAACATTGTCATGGATATGGAAGCTTAAACCATCAGAACAACGAATCCAGAATGTTTTTTTAAAGAACTAAAAGCTGTAAAATGAGGGCATCAACATAGCATATATAGTTTAAAAAAAATTACAATGGCAACATGATAAATTATAATAAGGAAACATGAAACAGATAGAAGGAATTTTTTGCTGCATTGTTAAATTCTGAAACTCCACTAAATCCCTATCCACAGGAATGGTAACTAAAATGTGAACCAAACACTGAAGAGTATGATTTCCAATCAGTTTCTCCACCTTTATCTATATTACTACCCTAATAGGTGTATGATGCCACATTCTATAGTGGGATACCACTAAGAGAAATCACATTGCTATTTGCCTGATTTATTCTCATCATCTTTGTCTTTCTCTTGCAGACTTTCAGATGTGGCTGTTGTGATCTCGCATCAAGTATATCTCAATTATCATGCATCTGATTTCATGAAACACAAATCAAAAAAATAAAAAGAATGGCTAAAACTATCTTTGATAAGATGTAAACATTTTTGACAGCTAGAAAGAGAAGCAACACATTCAAAATGAGAATCGTCAAATGTTATGTATACTCAACCCTGCAATATTATGCAGAAATGTGGACAATGAACAAGCAACTCGAAAATTAAACTGAGTATCTGGAAATGTAGATATACAGAAGAAAAGGTTGTATTTATGGAAACAAAAAAATGGATAAAATATAGAGGTTCTGGTAGGACTGCAAATGAAAAAAAAAAAATACCGAAATAAATAAAACAGAGACAACTGAAAGTGTTTCCTTTGTCATGCCAGTTAAGATGGAGAGGATTAATGTAATATAAGATTCTGACAAAAGAAGGTGAACAAATGAGTCCCATCTAATACAGTAATCATGAAACGTACAGTGAGTGGCATGATAAAGGGTTAAAATAGATTACCCTAGCTGGAAGTTTATAAGAGACATCTGGTGCTGAGCCACATCTGAATCGGGTCTGCTTGCCCAAAGTGATTGATGAACTGCATCTCTGAATTTGTTTCCCGTCTGATGATTGTGGCCTTGTTCTGTGGGGGATGTGTATCTTTGTGTTAAATCAGGCACAGAAACAAGGTAGGTAGGTAGTTGTACCCCACCAGGACATCACACAAGCGATAAACACCCAGTGACAAAAAGTGCCACCTTGCAGATGAGGATCACCAGTGGAGATGTCCCAGAAACCCCTTTCAGCCGTAAGGCCATATCCATTGCTAGGCCATATCTATGCTCTGGCTATATTTAGGGCCCCCGGCAGAAGCCAGGTTGGGGTTTTAAATAACAAAAAAATGGCATCCCACAATGGGGTGTCATTTAATATGCACTGAAACAAATTAGTTGACTACATTTTCTGCTAACCTCTATTGTTTTTTTAAAAACAAATATATATAACTCGATACGATTGCTTTACACAGACTTTTCCATGCCCATCTTTTTTATTACCTTCTTGTTCTGAATCTGCCTTTATAAGGGATGTTGGCACATTGTGTTATGAAAGACATCTACACTGTGATATCTGTGCTTAGTTGCCTAACATCTGATTTCAGCAAATTCCTAATTAGTCTCCCTTTACAACATGTTTGTTCAGGAGAAGTGGGTCTATTCCTTTTTTTTTTTCTCCAAAATATTGCCCCAAGAACACACACAGGGAAATCTGTTTATTATTACAGCTGATTATTTAACGTACAATATTACAGCATGTGTGTGTGTGTGTGTGTGTGTATATATGTGTGTGTGTGTGTGTGTGTGTGTGTGTGCGTGCATGTGTGTGTGCCTGCGAGCGTACGTGCATGCGAGCATAAGTGCATGCCTGCATGTATGTTGTTGTTGCGAGTTAGTGCAAATTAAAAAAATAAGGCTTAGAAAAGAAATGGAGAGAGAATGAAAGGGACACAAAGAGAAAAAAAAAGGTTGCTTACCTTTTACGCGGATATATGATACTACATTCTTATTTTTTTTAGACCAGCTGGTACTCTGTGGATGATGTGGTCAACATCATACCGGCCATCTTTACTTCCAAGTACTTAACCTAATACTCATTTTAGACTGAATACACGGTGAAGCCAAGGTTAATTTTGAAAACATTTGCCTTGATGCAGATTCTAACCTAAGACCTTTGGATCGGCAGACAAGCATCTAACCACTATACAAATGTGGCTCCCTGAGTACGTGGTATTGGCCTTATATTATAAAAGATCAACTGGTGCTTACTTAGTACAGTGATCAATACCACACCCACAGCTTTTATTTCCCAGACCCTTTCCCTACACTAATTTTATGCTTGGTTTTTCTGGGAGCCCTGGTCAATATTTTTTTAATCTCAATGCTATTACAACAGCAGTAGTAGTAGCAGCAACAGCAGTAGCAGCAGCTGAAATAACAATAGTAGCAGCAGTAGTAGTAGTAGCAGCTTCAGCAGCAGCACTGGTAGTAGTAGCAGCAACAGCAGTAGTAGCAGTATCAGCAGCAGCAGTAGTAGTAGTATCAGCAGCAGCAAGCAGGAGTAGCAGCCATAGTAGCAACAGCAGTAGCAGCACTTGCAGTAGCAGCAGCAGTAGCAACTGCAGTAGCAGTAGCAAAAGCAAGAGTATCCGCAGTAGTAGTTGCAGCAGTTTTAACAGCAGCAGCGGCAGTAGTAGTAGTGGTTGTAGTAGTAGTAGCAGCAACAGCAGTGGTAGAAGCAATAGTAGTAGCAGCAGTAGTAGTAGCAGCAGTAGCAGTTGTAGTAGTAGCAGCAGCAGCAGTAGCAGTTGCATTAGTGGTAGTAAAAGAAGAAGAACTGAGGTTTTGAACAAATGGTGTGCTAGTCAATGAATTGAGGCAGCACTTTCTGTACAAATATGGTATGAGTTAAAAACATACTTCAGTCTCTGTCTAGACCTGGTTGGACTCTTTTCTTTCTTTGACACAACTTCTCTGTGCAATTTCCAGCTTTCATTATCCACACATCTGAAAGTGATCATTTCTTAAATGAATATCACAGTAAGCTAACTGCAGTAAAGCTTTAAAGTGTAAAAATTCAGAGCTGTCCAGATATTACATTCTTTATATAATTCTGTCATGTATTATTATTTTGCTTCATTTGTTCACATAATATTAGAATACTGTAAAGTAGTCAGTTTCTTTGTATCCCCATTTTTCCTCATCTTTTTATTTCAGCAGATGAAAGCTAATTACCACAACATCCTTTGTTTGCCTAGTTTAACTGTGCCTGTAAAGCTGACACACTTTTTTTTTTTAGTTAAGAGGATTAGTATGATAAATACGCAATTCAAATTAGAGATACATCAAGCAATTCTGTAGCAACAAGCAACTTGCCATTTTCTGAGTTTTTAGTTAACAATACCCCTTTCATCATGGTGAAAAGCATTACAAATAAAATCTGCGCTCACAGTGTCGCACCATGCACTCAACTCAGTAGCTGGGTGACAAAACTATTTTCTTTCAGTCTAATAATGGAGAAAAATGCAACACCACCGTTGGTCAGAAACAAAACTGACAGGACTAAAAACAATGAAAGTGTATATCCTCCATTCTGACCAAAAGTCGACATGGTTACTGTAATTTCTAGCACAATTTTAATGTTTTCATTTGAAGCTCCCTCACAGAAGGAAAAGTTAGGAGAAAATGACAACACGTTTCAAATCCTGATATACGTAATATTTTTGATAAGAAAAACCCATAGTCTTCTTCACTGACGGCAAATTTTCAATTTTACATGAGAATGGGAACTAGCCCTCCCATCATGTGCCCTAAAAAAAAACTGGGTTATATGGTTTAAGAGGTTTTCTGGAATTTATTCCTGTTGGATTCTCATTCGAATAGTGACTCATTCGAATAGTGTTAATCTTTCAGTGTGCAACACTCAAAGGTGTAAATTTGAAAATAAAATAGTCCCTGAACTTTATCAATCCATAACGTTGTGTACATGAGACCGCTAGCATTTTACATTCCATGACTTCTTCCAGATTTATGAAACTGTATGTGTTGGGTCAAAAGGTGCTGCTACTGCAGCCCAGCTGTCAACCACAACAGAACATGCCAAATGCCTTTTGAAGGGTAAATGCAGAAGTAGAAGAAACTGACAAACTAACAGAAAAATTAAGTTACAAGCACGATAGATTGCTAAACCTTCACTCTTAGTGATTCTGCAACTTTACCAAAAGAACATGGAGACTTGTGGTTACTTAACCTAATCTTCTGTAGGTTAGTTAGTTAGTCAGTCTTTCCTCTTGAGTCTAGGGTGGTGCATAGGGCAGAAATCATAGCTTCCCATGTCTGGCGGTTTATTGCCACCTGCTTTAGGGTCTCTCTTGGTCTTCCCCGTTCTCTTTTTCCATTTGGCGTCCAAATAAAAGCTTGATGGGTGAGTCTGGTCTTATCCATTCTGAGTGCAAGTTTGATACAGTTCTAGTGGTGCTTTCTTATAAAACTGGATACCCTATCTTGCTTGGTTTCTTGTCTTTTTTGTGTATTGGATCTGAAATCTGTCCAGTGGAGATTTAGTATTATTCAAAGACATCTGTTCTCAAAATTGTCAGATTTTTTTGTCTAGAGCTACCGTTGGTTTCCAGTTCTTGCATTAATAAGTTAGAATAAGTTCTGTATGTGTTAATATTCCTTACGTCCTTCTTAGGGCGTTATTTTTTGTTTTTTGAAGCCCCCCTCTGGCTTTTGCCAGGGGCCGCAATATAGGCAGGTCATACATATGGCCAAATGTCTGAATGCGGTTTCTGGGACCTCTCCACGGTGATCCTCATCCGCATGGTGGCACTTTGTGTCATCGGGTGTTTATCGCTTGTGTGATGTCCTGGTGGGGTAAAAAGCCAATCCAATCCAGTTCTGTATGTACTCATGAATATCCTCAACTTTAAATAGCAATAATACCCTGCAGTAAAATTGAATAAAGAGCATATCAACATGAGATTGCACATTTTACTGCCTGGCATTTTTTGCTGAATCTCATCAGATTGCATGGAATGATTTATTTGCTTCATTTTATTAGACTGTTACTGTAGTATGCACCGGACAAGATATAATGAATTGTGCAATATGTTATTTGTGTCATCATTGTTTAAAATGTTGACTTCCTTTGAGTAGTTTTTCTAATTCGCAAACATAAAATATTACTAGCACGTATAACCCTGTAGTCCAGCTAATGATTTGAAGAAAATAATCACGAACCTTCAGGAGTTCCTTTAATAAATTTGTTTTAAAAAACTGCACCTGATTTACACAGGTCAAATAAAAAAAAATTATTTTGTTCAAACCCTGTATATATATATGTATGTATGTGTATGTATAGACAGACAGACAGATAAATAAAGGGGAGTAATCAATCAACATATACAGAGGGAAGCATTAAATGGAATACACTCTCAGGCAGGACTTAAAGAATATGTATCGGATGACTCATGTGATTCTATGACAATTATTTCTGAGGTTAAATGGAAAATTTGAAATTAAAATGGCTTTTAAAAGTCATCTGGTTCACAAGAAACCTGATCCGCCCACTCCTCCCATGCTGTTGTTAATACATATATTAATATACTGACCACCTAAATGCAGCAGTTGGACCCAACTTAAAGTGTCAGATTCAGAAGTGTTCTGTTTCTCAGGATGATAAGGTTAATGTGGATAGAAAAACGATACAAATGAACGCAAGCAATTATTCTAACTACAAATTACACCACTGATAGAAGCAAAAATGTCAGCCAAAAAGCTCCATCAGTAAACAAACAACAAGAGTAGTTGGCAATATAAAAATTAATTAACGCAGTCTCAGTTTTTGACTCTTAGCAGATATATGCACATAAATGCAACATGGCTAGACATTTGACTGCTAGCCAAAAGGATCTAAATCAACATCACAAATTTTTTTAAACTGACCTTGGTTCCCAGGTCAATCCAGCCTAAAACAAATACTAGGAAATAACCAAGAAAGTAAAAGCACAGGCAGGATGTTCAGTGCCAGCTGGTCAATAAAAACATAAGTCTAGCCTCAAACGCCCAATCAGTCTATGGCAAGAAACAGGAGAGGTTCATATAATAGAAGTTCACAGGTCAAACACACATGACGCAGAAACTACACACAGTAACACACAGGTGACATAAAGCACATGGCAATAGAACTAACCCCTGAAGATACTTTCCCTTTACACTGCCCATGCCATTTTGCAGATTCTGATTTGCCATGTTCTTGTAAGTTCTGTTTTCTGAGGCACACACACAAATAGGAAAACAAGTGAATATGTGAGTATTTGCATTTGAGACAATATATAGAATTATGAGAAACTAAAGTAATCAATTTTTTAAAACCCTGAGGTTTGTGTGTGTGTTAACTACGAAGATTATTCTTTCCTTCTGAGTTTTCACATTTTACAGTTAAATGGTCATTGCATCCATGCTTATATTAATTTCTTCTTCTTCTCCTCCTCCTCCTCCTTTTTCATCTCATTTCTTTATCCTCTGTGCCTCATTATTTTTTTTTTTTTAAAGTATATGGTTGGTTGTTAAAAGTGAAATCATTTGGCTTTCCATTTCTCCATGCTTTCTGATATTTTAATACCAGCCATTTAAGCTTTCTTCATACATATTTTTCTGTTATTTTGTTTTAACCGTCTTAATTAGTATTTTCCAATGTAAAGCTAATTTATTTATTAAAGTCCTTCTATTTATATATCACATCTATTTAACTTGTAACTTCTTTCCATTTCTGTGAGTAATACAGCCATGCTTGCAGTTGTTAAAACATCAACTTTTCAAAATATACTGATGTAAGAAATTGCTGTAGAATGAACTTCATGCAATTTGTGAAAATATAAAAGGTCACGCCCTATATCAACTAACAAATATATAGTCCAGGACAAAGTAAACAATCTGGTTAAAGTTCCCAGGCAACAAATAACCAATTCCTGTCATTAACATGGGAACAACTGGTTGATGAACCTCGGAGTGGCTGTGCAGTGATGTTGACTGTAATAATGTAACATAACATGAACATTTGAAAACAGCCTCAAACACTGACCTTGATTCCTTCAAGATTCACTGACTGATTAACTAGAATCAATGTCACTGCACTTTTGAGACAAAGTCATATGTGCTCTGTCTCTCTTGGTGTAGTTTAGAGATGCTGACTGTTCTCACAGTGGACTTATTATGAACATGATGATAATTAAAACTGATATTGCAACAAGTCAAATGATGTCTTTATCCGGTTGTGATTTATCAGCCTCTGTAATAAACCTGTCACATGCAATATGTATTACATATTCTTAGTCCATCCTTAGTACCCTACAATGGATGCCCTTAACTCTTTTAATACCAGGTGGTTTCACATGTGATGCCAAAGTAAAGAAATAACCACGGAGAAAAATCATGAATGTATTACTTTCAAGTGGCAAAAAAACCAGAAATAAGGCAGCCAGATGTTTTTTATGTTACAGCTAAAGTTTAAAATTAAGACAGCAAATGATGCTGTAGAGGGAAATTGAGGGATACAGCTGCTTACACAATAGGTGTTGGTTGAGACTGGAAAAGTTAAGGCAAGCAAATCAGCTAGTTCCTTATTATGGGCCCTTGAATGACCTGGGTGGCATATCAATTATTATGGGCCCTTGCATGACCTGGGTAGCATATCAATGCCTGGTGAAAAACCTCTAGAGTTCAGGCAAGAAAATCAGCTAGTTCCTTATTATGGGCCCTTGCTTGACCTGGGTAGTATATCAATGCCTGGTGAAAAGCCTCTAGAGTTCAGGCAAGAAAATCAGCTAGTTCCTTATTATGGGCCCTTGCATGACCTGGGTGGCATATCAATTATTATGGGCCCTTGCATGACCTGGGTAGCATATCAATGCCTGGTGGAAAACCTCTAGAGTTCAGGCAAGCAAATCAGCTAGTTCCTTATTATGGGCCCTTGCTTGACCTGGGTAGCAAATCAATGCCTGGTGAAAAGCCTCTAGAGTTCAGGCAAGCAAATCAGCTAGTTCCTTATTATGGGCCCTTGCTTGACCTGGGTAGCAAATCAATGCCTGGTGAAAAGCCTCTAGAGTTCAGGCAAGAAAATCAGCTAGTTCCTTATTATGGGCCCTTGCTTGACCTGGGTAGCATATCAATGCCTGGTGAAAAGCCTCTAGAGTTCAGGCAAGATAATCAGCTAATTTCTTATTATGGGCCCTTGCATGACCTGGGTAGCTTATCAATGCCATGTGAAAAGCCTCTATAGTTCAGGCAAGAAAATCAGCTAGTTCTTTTTTTTTTTTTTTTTGGTTCTTGCATAACCTGGGTAGCATATCAATTCCATGCCAGCAATCTTCTATCAATCTCATGCCTAATGCCATGTGAAACAAACCTCTATAGTCCAAGCAAGCAAATCAGCCATTTCCTTATTTTGGGTTCTTGCATGAACTGGATAGAATAACCATCTAAGAATGTGAAGATTATTTGTTTACATAATTTAACCATGTTTGCCAGAGCACCCACTATGGATTTTCTTAAATACAAGCTGAGAATCAAGCCCAATGGTAACTCTTGTGTAGTGAGCCTCATATATTATGTTTTTATGTTATAATCACTTACAATATATTTTTTACCTTATAATGTCTCAGAGACAAGTGTGAACAATACCTACCAGGACTTGCAGGAGATTTATAAACCTTGTTTCCCAGCTTGTCTACCTCTGGCTCTTCGCTCATAATCCTGCTTCTCTCTTCTCGGCAAAGTCTCAGTTTCTCTAAATATACCAATGTGTTAGGTATCAATTAACACAGATCTTAAGAAGCAGATTAGACACAAATATTACATTACTACATGTTGTAAAAGGGCAATAAAGTCTACTATTTTCTGGTTGTCTATACCTTCCCAGATAACGACCAATGTGGTTTCAAAGGAAAATATTAAAAGTGTGACATAAATTACAACAACCATTCCATGGTCTTGTAGTCAATAATGTTGTTAAGAATCTCAATATATTTAAACAAGTGACATCACAGTGCAGATGAATACAATGATGTCATAAAGAGTTTAAATATGGCCACCTCACTTTTGACATGCATCAAAGAGAAGCAGTGTTCAGTTATTTGATTTTCAGTGTTCAAGGTAAAACCTATTAAAAAAAATAACGGCAAATGAAATTCCAGTATGGTGATGCTCGGGACCAGGTCAGCAAGTAGCGACTCTAAAGTCAACTGCAACTGCTAAAGGCTTTAAATGCTGGAAACAGGTAACATCAAGTATAAATAATGTTGAAAGAAAAGAGGTTTCCTTTCACTGCTCCAGGTTTTGTCCTATACGGCTTAGCCTCTGGCTGCAGAATGTCTTCTTGGCAGCTAAGAGCAGACACAAACCTTGCAACTCAAGAGTTCTAGTGATGTTCCTGAGGAATCTCTGAAAGCACCACACTTGTAAACTGACAACAAACAGATAAACCACTTTCCCAGGGAGAAGTAAGGCTTACATATATGGTGAGTTTAGTGCTTAATTAGTTAGCATCAAATAATTATTACAAACATGTACTACTTACGCTGCCTAATCTGCTCATTTTCATCATAAATAGCATAGATTGTGCGCAAGGGGATGTCTTGAGGCAGCAATTCTTCTTGGAATTCAGATAAGGGCTTATAGAGCAATTCTACAGGCTGAATTTTAAAAAAAATATAAAGAAGGTTAAGGACTTATTTCCACACTATGAGGCATACTGTGCATATGGTGCTAGCCCAAAATGTAAAAAGACAAATCAGCATTCAAAAGATGATGTAGTCAACATCACAACTTTGCCGGTTCTTCCCAGAGCTTTTTATGTTACCCATTCAGGCTGCACTAACCAGGAATCAAAAATCAATTAATAAAAATCTGTCACAATTTTGAAGCTGCAGAGATGTAGTTTTATAGATGAATGATGAGAATAACCTAGACAGATAAAAAGAGTAATGAAGAAGTCTTAAAGGAAACTGACTCATGAAGAGAACTGACTGCCCACATCAGAAAAAGACAATCTACATTCTTTGGTCATGAAATGAGAGGGAGAAAACTGGACAGTAGGAAAGTTGGAGGGGAGGAGAGACAAAGGGAGACCGAGAGAACATATGCTGGACAGTCTGACATCATAGCATGGAGGGTCATCTATGTCAGAGTTGACTGGAAGTACACGAGACAGAAGGCTGTAGATAGACATGAGTATCAATGCCACACTGCACAGACTTTACGAAGAAGTCACATTGCAAATTCAAATCCAAGAGCTTCAGGAAGGCAGCCACACATTTAGTTACTGTGCTACAGAAACTCCCAGTACACTATTATTATGAATACTTGATCAGAGAGGCAGAAAAAAGAGACAGATACACTTGAAAAGGTTTCAGCTTTTCCTTGCTTAGAGTATATGCTGTGTGGTACTGGTAGTCACTCTATCCACAGCCTTCTCTCTTGTATTTTCAGTCATGTGTAACAGAGATGATCTTCCATGCTGTGATGTCAAACTGTCCAGAATCTTCTGAGTTATCTCCATCTACTTTATTTCCCTTCTAACTTTCCCACCATCACAGTGTGCTCCAGTTTTCATGATTAAACAGCTGAGCACATGTGATGATATAAGCAACACCAACTTCATCAAACAATTAATCACAGGGAGGATTAGAAAGTTATGGCCTCAGAGGTCTGCTCCAGAAAAGCACTTGAACAGAAATGTTAACTAAATGCCTTTTCCATAATCTATTCAGAAGCCCAAGGCATGCTCATTCATAAATGGTGGTCGTATCACTTACTGATGGCATTCCTCTCATCAGTTTTCCAGGGAAAAGGTCTAGAGTTTTCTGTGCGAGCTTTTTAAAGATGTTTTTTTCCACTCTCTCACTCTGTACACAGTCTTTAAACAATTTTAAACAATGTAGAATAATACTCTCTCTTTTTATCCCCCCCCCTCCCCCTCCCCTTCATCCCTTCCCTGCATACCCAATGTGTGACCCTTTAAAAAAAAATTTCTTTTATTTGTTTATTTGTATGTTCTTTTTCTCTTTCTGTCTTTCTCTCAATCTTTATTCTATCTATCTTTCATCACCTCTCTACAACTTTCTAGTCTCTTTTTCTCCCCCTCCTTTTTCACCCTGTTTCTCATTCTGGCTATGTCCAGACAATTCAGTCTGCATTTTTTTTTTTTTTGCTTTTGTGTTTTATTGCTTTGTGTGTATATGTCTGTTAATATGTGAATGTGTGTGTCTCTATGCGTGTCTCTGTGTGTGAATCTATGTGTGCCTGTGTGTGTGTTTGTGTATGTGTCTACGTGTTTGCGGGTGTGTAAGTGTGTGTGTCTGTGTGTTTGCAGAGTGTGTCTTTGTGTGTCTGTATGTGTGTATCTGTGAATGTGTGTGTGTATGTCTGGTGTATATGCCTGTGTTTTTGTCTGTGTATATGAGTCTGTGTGTGTCTGTGTATGTATGTGTGTCTGTGTGTATATGTCTGTGTATGTGACTGTATGTCTGTGTATATGTATCTGTGTGTGCAAGTCTAAATGTGTATGTGTCTGGGTGTGTGTCAGTGTGTGCAAGTCTATATGTGTGTGTGTCTGGGTGTGTGTCTGTGTGTGCATGTCTATATGTGTACATGTGTGTGTGTGCGTGTGTGCATCTCTGTGCGTGTGTGTGTCTATGTGTGCATGCCTGTGTATGTGTACCTGTGTGTGTGCATCTGTGTGTGTGTCTATGTGCTTGTCTGTGTGCATGTCTGTTTATGTGTCTATGTGTGTGTCTATGGGTGTGTCTGTGTGTGGAGGTAAGTGTCTGTATGCATGAGTGTATGTAGATATGTATGTATGTATGTATGTATGTATGTATGTGGGTGTGAGTTTATGTATGTGTCTGTACATGAGTGAGTGGGCATTTGTATGTGGGTGTGTGTGTTTGCATGAGTTTGTGCATGCATTTTGCAACCCATGCTTTTGTGTTTTCTCTTGATATTCATAATATGCATTGTATTATATGAACATAACATTCTTTATTGATAAAATACAACTGCTGTGTGAAAGATGGGTGTTTGGAAGGTCTGAATGTAAGAAGGGCCTGCCCAATTTGTGACCCTTTGAAAATAAAGTTTGTTTTTTTGTTCTTCTCCAGAATGACTGGTTGCTCATCTAGAGCATTGAACAAAGCATGAACTACATAGCTCCAGTGATGATCCCCAGGGTGCACTCATGAAAAGAAAAATGCATCTGTGAAACAAACCTATGACTTTCAAAATGCAAGACAAACAGCTTTACCACTTCACCATGGAGATGTCCTTGACTCCCCAGTGGGGAATCAAACATTCTCCTGCATGGCAGACAGGGCTTGGGATACTTAGGGCTTTACAAATTTTGCAAAAACAGCAGGTTTTTAGACACAGCATATACAAAAGAGCCTGAAATGATGTACCTTAACATTTAATCTGGAACAAGCGTCCAAAGATCGTGGACTAGTGAGGACATATTTGCTGTTCTCAAATTTGACGTCTTCCAGGTTGTTAAGATCTATTCGCACTTTAAAATCTGACAGTAAAAACAGGTAAATGTGCATTGTTAAGGTAAACATGTTACAGTAACTAGACTAACAGGCAGAAATGATTGGATAAGGTAAATTAACAAAAATAATAAATAAATAAAGACTGTGTTGTATCCCCAATAGAGGTTGGCTGCAATGTATCCTTGGCTAAGTATAGAAATACTGAGATGAAACCCCAATCTCTTCCACGAGGCGACTCTTGTAGCATAGTTTGAAAGCCATGAAAATAGTCTTTTTCTAAACCACCCACTGGGGGAATCAAAATTCTAGCAAAAATCAAAGACTGCATTGTGAAACTATCTCCCTAACCACTGAGCCAGAGAGTTTCATGCTCACACGCACACAAGCACGCAAGCTCAAAGGTAACTCCGATATTTAGAATATGGTGCTAGAACAATATTTTCTTGATACTTGACCAGGTGGCCTTCATCATTATTACCAAGTGCTTCACCAACTGGAGTGGGTGATTATTTCTCTTAACAGTCTGTGATCTCCACCAACATGTATTAGTTCAGGTGCTGACATTCCTCCATAACATGAGAAAAGGCTTTTAAGTACCTTGTAATGTTGTCTTCCTTTATCTTTTTCCATAAATCTGTTGAGTCGTCACAACATGCTACAGTTTCTCTTTTCTCACAACATTGCTAAAAAGTGATGTCTTTTTGATGATTTTTGTGATGAGTTGTCTTCAGGCCCTCCTATTATTCAAAACATGAGGGTTACTCTTCTCCTTCAGGCTGTCCAAGAAATTGTAAGCATCCTTCTACGTGGTCCTAGAAAGATTAAAGGAGCTGTATCCCACCACATCAAGTTGACCACTTCCTGTTCACTATTATATGAGAGCCCACTGATCTCTGAGCCATACTGTGACATACCACCAGAACTAAATACCCTGGCTATAGGTATTCTAATTCACAGAGTACTGTGAGGATTGGAAGGAGGGGGTCTATATTAGGATAATATTAAAAACTTCAGTAGAGTCTGACTTTGAATCTCTAAATGACATAGCCAATGTTGAATGAACAAATGTTCAGTTACACAAAGGCTTTAGCATATAAGGTGCTGAGATGTGTGTGCATCTTCCACAAGGGAAATGGCATAATTTGGTGGTAACGGTATGAACATTTATGCATTCATAATAATAAGTTTCTTCCAATGTGGGTTCCAGAATCCCACTGGGGGGGGGGGGGGGGGGGGGGGGGGGGGGGGGGGGGGGGGTTAATCAAGTAACAGAAAGTATTGTGAACGGCACTCATAGAAAGAAGTAGAAAGATAGAAGAACACACTAGACAACATAAAAATCGAAAGCTATAGTTACCGTGCCGGGAATTGAACCTGTCACCTCCAGACGGTGTCTGCGCCTCGCCATGAATACAAGTGCACTAAGATACATGGTCAACTAGGCACCCTTAAAAAAAGGTGTCTTATTGGCCATGTCTATCGTACAGCTTGAAATCCACGACTATGGAATACGGACAGAATTCATTTCAACCCATTGAAATGGCACCCTTCACAATACTTTCTGTTACTTGATTAATTCATAATATTTAACGGCCTCAAATGGTTCCCCCCTCTGTTTATTTATAGGAATGACGTATTTCAAAGTCAGAGTGCATTTGACTAAGGCCAGGAACGAACAATTTGCATATAAATCAGCCAGATCTGTAAAACAGATGTGAATGCAAAACTCAGGTTCCATAACAAGACTAGAAGTCCAGACAGAAATGGATGACGAACAACCAGAACTATCTACTAGAACTTACAGAAGAAGAAGAAGAAGAAGAAGAAGAAGAAGAAGAAGAAGAAGAAGTAGAAGAAGAAGAAGAAGAAGAAGAAGAAGAAGAAGAAGAAGAAGAAGAAGAAGAAGAAGAAGAAGAAGAAGAAGAAGAAGAAGAAGAAGAAGAAGAAGAAGAAGAATCAATTTCAGTGTTTTTGTAGCGTTGTACAGTTTATTTTGTTCTGCGTACTCATTTTCTTGTGTCTTTTCTGTGAGACCGGTACAGTTATAGTCAATGTCACAGTTATCATCATATGTTGTTTCTGCAACCTCAGAGCTCACTATTTTCTATCAGTACCGAGTGGACTATTATGTCAAGATAATCTGAGAGGTCAGTACACTGATCAATACTTCTAGGACAGACATGAGCGCTGTACAGACATAAAAGTTTGTTTTATTACTATATGTAATTAGTATTAGTTATTAGCTTGTTGAGACACGCATTATTTAGTATTAATTTCACGAACAGAGCTTGCAATCTTCCTACTTCTGTAAGATTTATAACGCCATCAGTTATAAGAAAGCATAATCTGTAATCAAGATTAATTTAATTACCTGATTCCATTTTAATAAATTTAATGACCTAGTGTTGACTTTCAGGTGCAGTCGTTTTGCAGCCAGCTTACGTTAGAAGTTGGAAGACGAAAGCTTTGCTACGACGCCATACTCTAACAATGGTTTTTGCAAAAGTTTACACTGGATACAGGTAGTTACTTTGTTAGAAAACATATCAAAAATAAAACTGAATTAGTTTTTTTTTTTTTTTTTAGTCAGGGGTCAGTGAAGTTTCTAGTCCAAAACATGTGGTTAAATTGTTATAGTCTGAAGAAAATCAAAGAATTTAAATATCTAGGAAGCATATTTTTGAAAGACAGAAGAATAGATCCGGATATAGAAACAAGATATCAACGAGCCTGTATCCTTATATACCAAATAACACTGATCACTGATCTAAAGATTGTAAATTTGACGAAGAAATTGACATTCGATGCAGTAATGCTGGCCAGGTATTGAGACATCTAGCTCCCCTATTACAGGATTAGACAATCCCATTCGGCACGAAGAGACATCTCATACAAAGCGTATTCATTCCCACCCCATGCTACAAGTGCCAGACGTGGTCACTCACAACAAAACATAAAAGAAAATCAGTAACCATGGAAATGGGGTGTCTGAGAAAAGCTGTAGGAGTGGCCAGAAAAGATAAAAACAGGAATGAGGTCATACGAGATAAAGTCAGCACAGAACCAATTCTAAATTACATTGAAAGACTGAACTGAACTGAACTGAATTTTACCCCACCAGGACATCACACAAGCGATAAACACCCGATGACAAAAGTGCCACCATGTGGATGAGGATCGCCGTGGAGAGGTCCCAGAAACCGCGTTCAGACATTTGGCCATATATGGCCTGCCTATATTGCGGCCCCTGGCAAAAGCCAGAGTAGGGCTTCAAATGACAAAAAATTTCATCCTAAGAAGGACGAACTTAGAGAAAGACAGCAAATCAAATGGTTTACCTACTTGGAGAGAGTGTCTTCTGGTGCTATACCATTCAAGGCATATACCAAAAGAGGAGAGAGATGTAGAACAAAAAGAAGACCAAGAACAAAAAAAAAAGGATAACATCAGAGAAACACTACAGTACCACGATATGTCTTAGGTCGAAGCAGCCCAAAAACCATGAAGCAAGCCCTTATGTCTTTCATTCGACACCCGAATCAGTAAAAGAGGTCGTAAAAAAGAAGAGGCAGCAGACGCAACAACAACAGCAACAGTAGTGCTGATGGTAGCAGTAGCAATAGCAGCAGTAGTAATAGTCGCAGCAGTAATTGACTATAAATAAAATGAGAAAGTGGGAAAGAGCGCAAGGACATATTTTGTTTTTGTAATTATTTGTATGCTAAGGGACATAACCGAATCAATGTATACAAGCGTTGTTCTGTAAAAGGGGACAACCTTGCTTTTCAAAAAAAAAAAAAAACATTTTTATTCAGTGTCTTTAATGCTTCCGTTTCAGGCATAAGTATTTCCCTGTGGATTTTTTTTTTTTTTTAGGTTTTAAATTAATTTTATTGAGTGTTAAAATGGGTCTGTGTACAAAGCTGCGTGGTTTCTGTTTTGTGCGTATTTTATTTACAGGCGTCTGCGATGTGCGTTTTTTGTTGTGTTCTTTACATATGTTGCCATGTGTTTAGTATTGTGTTGCAGGTGGGTGCGTCATTTCAATATTTATACATTTATACATAGGAAGATTAACTGAGAAATCAGTTGGTTTAGTATTAGAGTTAAGAGTTTGAAGTGTGCTTTTTATGCACCTGATAGGAAGTAACGGGACAGGGCAAGGGGGACAGACTAGAGTGGGAGGAAAAGGGGGGGGGGGGTAGGGTTGTAAAGCAGTTAGGTTTCAGAGGGACAGTAGAGATTGGGAAATGGTTTTTGTTTATTTTCCTTCAGTTGGTTACATCTTTCAGCCTCCTGGGAGGGCATTTGTTTCTGTGCGTTTCTTTGTGAGCTCATTTCAAAAATAGTTTGAAGTGTGCCTTGTATGCACATGATAGGAAATAACGGGACAGGGCAGGGGGGACAGACTAGAGTGGGAGGAAGGGAGGAGGGTAGGGTTGTAAAGCAGTTAGGTTTCAGAGGGATGGTAGAGATGGGATATGGTATTTGTGGATTTTCCTTTCGTTGGTTACATCTTCTTTTTGCTTTTAATTTTTTTTTTTTTTTTTTTTTTTTTGCTATCTTCCTGGGAAGGCACTTGTTTCTGTGTGTCTCTTTGTCAGCTCGTTCCAACATAGATCATAATCTCGGGGGTGGGGGGGGGAGGAGAAAGGGTGAAACAGTTGATATAAACAATGCATCTTAAAACATATCATTGATCTAAATTAAGCAATTTACATAGAGACATCAATAAAATAGAGAGAAGTATAGGAGAGTATTTAGGGATCTTATCACATAAAAAACAGATTTCTTGAGGCCATTAGAGAGTCGAGATAAATGAGAAGAGACAGAGAAGATTTAAGAGGAGAGAGAGATAAGAGAAGTAAAAAAGAGTAATTATAGATAACCAGTGAAAACAGGAGGGAAGAGAAGGATAATAACATTTTGCAGTAGAGGAAGGGGTCCTTATTTCAGTTAACATAGCAATGCATCTTGAAACATATCACTTGATCTCATATGAGCAATTTACATAAAGACATCCATA